ACAGACATCTGACTGCTATCAGCCTCGCCGATCAGCTTCCAAACAGGTTTATTATGATCTTTATTCTGATCGTGTGGAAGATATTAGTTCTTTAAAACGTTAAGAGTCAGATATATGGTTTAGTTATTTGTTATGAGCAGCGGTAGTTCTAGTCTACATCTTATTGAATTTAGTTCAATTTAATTGATTAGGATATCGCATATTAATGGACATTACTGCAATTTATGGTAGGATAAATTTATAGGAATTAGCACAATAGTTTCATTTCATTGTTTGTCCTAAGACAAGAAAGCAATAAACTAAACAAAACACCTTACTACTTTTTGGCAGATTTAGAGTTTGCCTCTGCAGAAATCTTCTCTAAATGTATTCATTTAGGTCAAAAATGAAGTGAGACCTCTGGAAGTTTGAGGCCAGAAATTTACAGAATATCATAAAGTTTTTATGAATCTCAAGCTGTGTTTTTAAACATTTTTCTTCAGTCTTCACTACAGTGCTTGTAAAAATACCAACACTGTTTTTTTGTTGTTGTTGCTTTTAGGAAGCAATCATGATCAACAAAAAAATGATTTTAAAAAACCAATTAATGTCAAGGTGAAAACTGATTTCTACAACTGAATGACACATACAGATACTGAACAAAAAATAAGTGTTTGCATAAATATTCACACCCTTAGAGTGAGTGTTCAGTGCATATGTGGCTGCAATAACAGCACTGAGTGTGGATATGTTCGATATTCACCGTCTTTAAGGGGCTGAATATTATGCATTTACTCAAAAACAAACTCAAAACAGTTCATTTCTGAAAGCAATTAATATCCTGATCTCTCACATGCACTAATTATATTATGGTATATTTATGCATCCATCCATCCATTATCTGTTCACCCATGTCCCTGGTGGGGTTTGGAGTTACTGGAGTCTATCTCCAGCTGCGTTCCGGGCGAGAGGAGGGGTCACCCTGGACAGGTCGCCAGTCTGTCGCATATATGTTGTATACATATCTACCTAAATATATATACGATTATAAAAATCACCAATTTATGTTTATAAGGTGTATATTTCATGGATTGTTTGCACTGTTTTTGGTGTTGGGTTTTAATCTGATTGTTGACAAAAACCCCCGCAATAAATTCTCATTCTAATTTCATGTTCAGTATCTACAGTCAAAAAAGTCACATTTTGTTGATCATGATTGATTTGTACAAGCAATAAAAGAATGGCACATCATTCAAGAATGCACATTGTTAATGGTAAAGATGATCGAACAGAGCAAATTGATATGAGAGTAAAAATTGTTGTTAGAATCAACTATTGCATCAGTAATTAGTATTCTGGTTGCCTTGTTGCGAATGCGAGCGCCCCCTCGGCCTAAATCTGGCAGGGACGGCTGGTAGGTTTGGCAGCTTACAGAGCAGGCTAAATGTCACCGCGTCAGCTGGCCAGATGCTGGTGCCCTCACGCCTCCCTGTGCGCCCCGAGACATTTGGATTCTTTGGCTGTGAGCTCTGGACCCAGACAGCACCATTTGCATTCATCGCTCGGCACAGGAGGGAATTAACAGGAAATAACTGCCTTGCAGAGAGACATTTAATAGTTCATGGTTAAATTTGTTCCTACTTATTCCTTCTTTTTGCTTTCATTCCGTCTCATTTCAGAGCCACCCCTGCTCATCTTTGCTCAATAATGTTTAATTGTCTTATTTGCTCTTTGCGTGTCTGCTTCACTCACCAGAGCATTTGTCCTGAATTTATACAATCTCATCTTAGTCAAATCATGGCGATTTGTGGGGCAGAGCTAACCTGGAGTAGGTTGACTAAAAGTCACAGCTTGAAACTTATTGCTTGAAACTATTGCACGCTGGCTTGCTAACAGAAGGATAAATGTTGTGACAAAATGGAGTTAAAAAATGCAAATGTCAGCGAAACTTCTGAACAGAATTGAAACCCGGCAGCCAGTGATGCACCAAGATTTGCGGCTCATACGGAAGGAGACATTTTGTGGCAGGACGGAAAATGGAATAATGTCGCAACATTTCCGGCTGGGTGAGGTACATGTTTTGGGGTAAAATGAGATGCTTCCTAGCTGAAGAACTTGTAGAGAAATAAATGGACAGTGTTTAGATATATACATATATATTTGTTTTTCTTCATTTCAACACAGAAAGGATTATAAAAGACATATTCCCTATGCAGTTATGCAGGCTTTGTGTTTATATTGGTTGTTTTTATTTCTACTCATTTTTGATATGAAAATCACTCTATTAATTGTTTGCCAAAAATGTTTCATGGCCAGCAATAATGTACCAACGCTTTCAACAGTACCCATACTAATCGCCAATTCCTAAGCACAGTCCTTAGGCTGTTTACATTTCAGTTTATTACAAAACAAAGAAAAATTTTGATGTTTTTAGTCAGTAATAATATGTTTAAAAAAAAGCTTGATTCTTTTAGATTTTTTTAGAACCTTTAAAAAATTCCCATGAGCCTCTACGTCCCAGTTACATGACAAAAACACAAACTTAAGTACATTTCATCAGGGTCGACCAACATTGTAAAAATCTGAAAAGTGTGTACATTTGGAGTTTTGCCTCCATGTGCTGAGACATCTAAATAAAATTCTCGGCAACAAGTTGTCTTCAGAACTCATGTTACTGGTAAAAATATCAAGATAATATCAAGGTTGACTCAAAGAGAGAATATACATTTCAATTTGACAAAAGGTTTCAAACATCATGTCATAGCGTATTTCCACTGAACAATGTCAGTGGCTTTAATCCCGTATCACCTCTTTATCTTATAAAACCCTTTATGATGCATTAAACAACTACTATCAACAAATAAGAGTCTGGTATTTAAATAACTAGCTAATGTCTATAGCAGTCCAGACAGCTATCCACGGTGTACAGTGATATTAGGAAGACGAACATGAATGAGTATCTTCTGTTTTTGCGCCTTCCTCAGTGCTGCTACACTTGCTAGAGGGTTTGCCTGTGTGTAATTTATTGTAGGTATAAACACAGGCCAGAGAATCCCACTGAACTAACAGAACAACTTCGGATCAGTCAAATCCAAATTGATGTAGATTTTAGACAGACTGGCAGGATATGATTATGATTGTCGTCTGTTTCAGTGAAACGGGTGACAAAGTTTAAATGGAGGAGTCAAGACCAAGCAACACAGCAGACAGCAGGTCAGGAATAAAGTTATGGAGAAGTATAAAACAGGCTTAGGTTATAGAACAATATCCAGGTTGTGAGCCTCTTCAAGAGCTCAGAGCCATCCGTCATCTGGAAATGGAAAGAGTATGGCAAAACTACAAAAAAAAAAAAAAAAAAAAGCTACAGGAGAAATAAAGCAAGAAGTCACTTTGGAGTGAATAACAAGGTGTGCACCAATGCAACAGTTTTTGTCTGCTTGTAAAAATGGAAACGGAAGCATCATGCTGTGGGCCTGCATTCTTTACTAGGAAACACAGGAAGTATTCCCTAATACATTATGGAACAGTTCCCTACTGTACTAGGGAGCTAAATATGGCTCAATTGTGGGAGAAAACAGACGCAACTCCTAAACATACAGCCAGAGTTCACAGGTTAGAATGGCCCAGTCAAAGTTGAGACCTAAAAATTACCACTCACAAATGTTTTTTTCTGTGTAGCTTGAGCTAATTTGCAAAGAAGAATTGGAAAACGTTCAGACTTAGAAATCCCAGATTGCAGCAAAAAGTGGTTTCAGCAAATTATTCTTTCAGACAAGGTGAACACAAATGCACACCACACTTTTCAGATATTCTTTCTCTAATCTTATTTGGACTATGTATTGTTTTCTTTTATTTCAAATTTGACATGATTTATTTTAGTCAGTGACAAAAAAAAAACCTAAGTAAAACTGAAAGTTTGTGGTTGTAGTGCAGTGAAATGTGAAAGAAGGAGCATGTATATATAGTTCAATATAATTTAAAAGCACACTTAAAAGAGAGTATTTTTGTGGTATGAAGCCACAAAAGACTATAAATCAGGAATACTGTCTAGATGGGAAAAACAACGCAAAGTATCCACTTCGATTTCTCAAAGGGGGGCAGCTTGTTGTAAACATCAGCAGTTTATGGTTTACTGTCGCCGCTTTGAAGAAGCCTGAACAGAAAGAGTGCAGCACTGAAATTAAAGGAGCAGCAACAAGTTTCTCTTTCTATTTTGCCCCCTGCCCTCGAGAGAAAGACACTGTAAGATTAATATAATAAGTTCAACTTGTTTGCTCTGCTCCCCCGTCTATTCTCGGTCTTTGTGCAAACAACAGACAGGAGTAGTCAGGGGTGAAATTTGCTTGTGGCGAATTCTGGAATTATTACATCAGAACGCTTCTCTCATATTTCTTCACTGGCTCTGGCTTAACAGGATAAAGCGATTATGCAGTTTTGGGAGCACAATCAACGTTAATTGGCAAATTTGCATCAAATTCATATTCATTTAAAAAAAAAAAAAAGCTCTTCATGTTGCTGCTTTCGTGCAAAAGTGTCACAATCACCTTTTAAAAATTTCTAAAATTCAGACATGTGCAGACGTGGCGGAAGTGTTTATTTCATGCTTTAACTAACAAATGGTGCAACAAACGCGCACACAAAAATATCAAATCTTTTTCAGCTCTTGTCCTTTATTTCATTCCCCTGAGATCTCACCTACTTGCTCCTCTGTCAGTGTTCTCCATCAGTGGAGCCTCTTATTCCACTTGTTTGAGTGTGTGCTGCACTAGCAGCAACAGTTCGGAACTGTCAGCAGCAAAACAGCTTCTAATCTGTAAACACACCCGCCTTTAAACCTACCAGCTAAATGCTTCCTAAATGCTGCCTAACGCACACATCCAGGTATTCACACACACTTCAGACAAAAAAACATGCAGGAAAAGTCCCGACGTTTCTCACAACAACGTGTCGCATGACGGGTGGAGGGGGAATCTACAGATTGCAGTTTGTGCCTGTGTGTGTGTGTTGCTGTTACTCCTCACCTTGTCCCAGTGTGTGTGACACCCCCTCCTCCGCTCCACTTGTCTCTGCTGTGCTGTCCTTCATTTAAGTCCACCTTCTTCATAGCAACACTCCTCATGTCATTCCCTTTTGCATGTGTGTGCGTGCGTGTGTGTTTGTGCGCAGGTATACCGGAGGCAGGCGTCAACCAGGCTGGCAGCGTTGGAGGAGGCTGCGGAGGGGAGGACGGCTTCTTACAAGAGGGAGATCCTTCACCTGCAGGAGCTGCTGAGAGAAAGACAGGAGGCTGAGGAAAAACTGCTGCAGTCCAAACGGTAGGAGGGAGGGTGAGGAGAGAGTGAGAGAGAGAGAGAGAGAGAGAGAGAGGGGAGAGAGAGAGAGAGAGAGAGGGACGGGAGAGGATAGTGAGATAATGTATGAATGAGAAGAGGGGACACAATGAGATGAAAGACAACTGTGTGTGTAGAAAGAAAAAGGTGTAAGAAAACAACATTGACCACGTTTTACAATCTAATAGTCTGATTTAGCTCATTAAAGCTGCATCACGCGACTTTTGTAAAGAATATGGTTTTTACATGTGTGTTAAAAGTTGTGACAATTTGCCATGAGACACATTATCTGTGAAAACATCAATCTTCTCCACCTGCTCCCTGAGCTACTGTCGCTGTTTGAAGAGATGAACCACTCCCAATCAAAAGTGAGCAAGCGGAGCCAGTAGGAGGGTCGTATCGCTATCAATCAACCTCATGCACTCGCTGCTAAATGTGCCAATGACGGACAAACAACTTACAGTTACAGGAAAGCCGTTTATCTGCCGTAAGTGACAGTTTAGCGAGATAAATGAGCTTGTTTTGTCTCTTAATTTTAATTTTAAAAATGTACTAGTACCACTGACAGACTTTGTTTACTGAAACATATTTCTCTTGCTGAATTTCTACATTTCTTTTGTCATATTTCAAGTGTCCTCAAATATTTACACTGGAAACTAGACAAGACTTTATGGACAAAAAATAAAAGATTGTGTTTGTAATTGGGGTTACATTCCAGGTAATGAAAAGGAAACACTTCCTATGGAGGAAATATATCTCATTTTATTTTAAGATATAAAAAGCAGCAGGAGCAATATAACGATTATATGTAATTCAATGGAGAGACGTTGGAGATAAAACAACTCACAGGAGGAGGCGGAAGGATCACTCTCACCACGCCGACGGCTTTCTTTTTCTTCTTTTTCTCACAATTGACTTTCAAAAATCCTCTCCAGAAAGGAGAGTGAGACCCCAGAGACGTCCCCATAACATGTTGAATCCTGCTCTCAGGTTCACTGCAGATGCCACACCGAAATGTGATGCAGCGTGTCAGGAAGTTTCTCAGCGGCATCATGATAAAAAGCAGCGAAGATGCTGCGACATTATCATGGGATGCCACCAGGGACATTAGCACCCCTTAAGCTTCAGTCTGCCGAGGGGAGTCCAGGAGAGATTCTCGGGCGTATTCGCAACCATATGTGGAGATGGATTTCTAAAAAAAAAAAAAAAAAAAGGATGGATGGATGGATGGATGGATGGATGGATGGATGGATGGATGGATGGATGGATGGATGGATGGATGGATGGATGGATGGATGGATGGATGGATGGATGGATGGATGATGGATGGATGGATGGATGGATGGATGGGATGGATGGATGGATGGGATGGATGGATGGATGGATGGATGGATGGATGGATGGATGGATGGATGGATGATGGATGGATGGATGGATGGATGGATGGATGGATGGATTTGGATTTTTTTTTTTTGTGGCAAGCATGAGCTTTAATCTTGCTATCTTTCAGCCTTAAATAAAGAACAGATTTGTTTCTTTCAAAAAAATCTGAAATAATGAATGGAAGGGTTGGAAAAAGAGATTGTTTACGCTGCACAGTTTGTGCAGCCTGATAATAAATCTGTACTCGGTATTATTTTTATTGAATATTCATGGTTTTTATCATATATAAATATAGCACCCTTCTAATAATCAGATTGCTCCAGGAAAAAAAAGAAGAAAACTCTCAACAATTCCCTTCTCTGTTTCTCCCACCGTGGGTTGGTCTGTTTTTAGACCCGTCTCCGGGCCTGATGCCCGCTGCTATCAAATGAAAGCAAGCTAATCACATTGTCTGAAGAATCGGCCCTGCTCTGCCTGGAGGGCATCTTAATGACGAATCACACACATTATCAGACACATCTCTAACCAGAGCGGCTTCGCCCGATCTCAGGAAGGTCGTTCGTTCTTTTGAGTCCGCCTCACCTGCTTTGTAATTTATGTAGTAAAGTTGTACTATCGGCGCTATTCATCGGGTGGAAAAGGCATCTGTGTTTTAGTAAATACAGAGGACGAGATCCTATCAGCTGAGATTCAGCCTCTCTTATCACTGACTGCCAGTCAGTTTGGTGATCGATTTGTAAGTTTGCTCTGATCACCCATGTGCTCTGCATGGTTTGTTTCTGAGACACGTGGCTGAATAGTCGACCCTTTCAGAGAAATCGGACTAACAGGGGATAAACAATATGAATTGAGATTTTTGTTTTGTATGAAAGGCTTAAGACATCTTTAGAGATGTCTTGTGATGCAATAAACCAAGATGTACGTTAGGGACAGATATTTCTTTCTTTCCACATCAAGTTGCTTCCCGTCCAATAGTGTTTTTCTTCTCAGTGGCTCTAGCATGCCTTATTAATCCTTCAGACTAATGACTAATATTGAAATTTGTTAATTTACATTTGATGAGAACCTAGCTAAAAACTGACAACATCCTATGATTTTTGGTTGATTCAATTTCATTACAGGGGCAGTATTATGTAAATCAACTTCTTTTTTGGTATTAACTCGCTTATAACGTTTACAAACCAGTAAATCGAACAAGGTAACTAATTGAGATGATTTTGCTCAGTGTTTTCTGGGAAGTAAAGCGTCCCGTTTCTTTTTCGCCGTTTTTCTACGTGTGTTGTGAACTTTTCAGAGGTGTGCCCTTAACTCGCTTGCTGTGGTTAAATCCCTATAACCACCGACTCATCGAAACGGATAAGAACAGATTCTGATCATGACTTAGAGCTTCCTCCTTAGCTCTGTGTTTTTAACGTTTCTAATCAGAAGCCCCTCATTAAACGGAGCTCAAGGTTTTACAGCCGAAAATCCTTTTAATGACATCGAGTGATACCAACTGTCTCGAAATATATCTTATTAGGAAAAAGTTTCCGTCTTTGGCTCATTCGCACGATCAGAGCAGAGTTGAACCTTGCCTCAGAAAATGGTCAGCCTACTTAGACTCGTTCTGATGGCACAGTGAAGCCTTGCCAAGTCACTGGAACACACACCGGGGCCAAAATGTTACAGAAAAGTCCTGTTTGTAGACAGAATTCTTATAGTTGGTTGTTTTTGTTGTTTTTCTTTTTTTTTTTTTTGGGAGAAAATACGTCAGCTTTGTTCTCAGGAAGAAGAGCGAAACTTTTTCACGTCTCCCTTCAGAAGAATCTTTCTGTGCGTCAGTCTCCGATCCCTCTCATCCTCTGCTTTATATTCCACCCTTGGTGCAGCGCAGAGATGCTGATCGGCTGTGATTGCTGCCTGCCAGCTGAGTTGTGCGTAGCCTCCGGGGAAGTGCCACTGCCCAAGAATTCATGGAGCTCTGGGGGCGGCAATTGAGCTTTCAGATCTTCTTTTTCCCTCCTTCTAAACATAGTCTGCTTCTCCCACTGCTACCTAGCTACTCAACTCAAAAAGGTTAGCTTAATACAAAAGAAAAGCAACCTCCAAGTCAACAACCAAAGTTGGTAATTTGCTGATAAATTTCCCCCATTTTTATTTAGTTTACTTTCAGCAGCCAACAAACTGAGATCTTGATTATATAAGCTATATTTATCAAATGTAACTTACAAGAAATTTTACTTAGTGTTTTAATGCCTGGAAATTGGGCCTCTGTCGCTTTAAAAACTCCTGCTCTTTCTGAAACTCCGCCATCAGGAGGTCATCACAGCATCGCTTCTCTATCAACCCTTTAGCGTTTTTTATAATTTTTTATCAGCGTTGCACTGAGAAGAAGCTTGCACAATGAGCTCGAGATATGCAGTTCTACCAGGTGTCTTCTAATTGCCGCTGGCTAGTCTGAAGGAGCTGAGTGGGAGAATCGTGGCGGAAGCTCCAAAATCTGCAGCTCAGAGGAGAGGCTGAGTCTGAAGGGCGGGGCCAGGTCCATCCAGGCGTTTTGCAAAGCTGAATGGTTGCCATGGGAGATTAAAGGCAACGCTCCAGGAATGTTTTTGATGAAGGAATAACAGCATAACATGATGTAAAACTAAAAGACGTTGCTTTGACATAATACTGCCCCTTTAAAACAGATTCTTAAGATAGTATTAATAGTATTACTGTCAATTCTGCTAAAGCGCAGAGTTGAAACAGCCCTTCCCTCTGCTGTCGAGCACCTCAAAGCGCTGACAGTCATTTATGTTAATGTGTAAAGCTGGCCTCGTGCTTAAAATTCATAAAACTCAAGTACACAGATGATCATGCTGCAGAAGTTTGATCAGGGCCTACCTCGTCCATCAGAAGCACTTTTCTCTCAAATCATGAGGCATTCTCTACGAACCTGAGGCATTCGTCAAGGACTATATTTCGCCTGCCCATGTAATAACCTGCCAGTTAGAGAGACATGACAAAGACGGCTGGAACAAGCAGAGATGGGTGGCGGTTTTTGTAGCAGCCGCTGTAAAAGATCCCCGTTTGTTATTTTCTGGTCTTTGCAGCCCGTAGTGAATGAGAACCTGAATTGACATACAGAGGTCGTGCTTTGCTAACAGCAGCCTTCAGCTCATACACATAATTTCTAGTCATGTTGTACCCCTGAACCCAGCACTGAAATGTTCCTTCTGCGTCCGACAGAGATAAAGCTCTTAAATTTATTATTCTTGTAATACTCATCAAAAACACAGCAGATCCAGCGGTTGAAGGCTAGTTCAAACACTCAACTCTCTATCCTGCATTGATCAAGTATTTTCCCTTTTACTCAAAAGCAACAATGCTGTTGAACTGTTTCACAAAATCCCAACAAAATACATTGAAGTTTGTAACATGGCAGGATGTGAAAAACTTCAAAAGTCTCTCTCTCTTTCTCTCTCTCTCTTGGTGGAACCCTTTTGCAAGGCACCAGGTATATTTGATGCAGCACAATACATTTCAGTGGGATGTAGACACTGCAATCAAGCCAGTGTTCAGTAAGAGTTTCCCTCCAACACAGGCACATTAATCTTTTTCCCTGTGAGCTGAAGCAGCAGTGAATGAGGTTGCCATTGGTAACTGGATTGGATGTAATTAGCGGAGAATATGTGGTGGTTGTCACTCTGAGACGACAAGGGACAAAGTTCTTTTTTCCTTTTTTGTTTTGTTCGCATTGGAACACATCGACAGTTGAAAGAACGGTTTTATCTTTTTTTTCCTTCACGGTCAAGACGATGTTCTCCAGATGGACTAGCAGTCGCTCTAACGCTCAATGAAGGAAGCAAGTCCTTGACATCAAGCATCAATTGAGAGTTATATGTGCCACACACAGCTGCTTTTACATCAAGATGCATCAATAAATGTAAATCTTGAACCACCACAGAACATGGATTATATTGCTGGACAAATACAAACAACCAGTATTGCCACTAATTATGTTTTAATTTACTTCATTTTATTTGCTGAGGGGAAACATTGCGCATTAATGAACATTTTGAACAACACAAATGTAAATACACCAATTTACAACCAAGGCTCATTTCCGTTGTCTGTGTCCCTGACAGATGGTGCAAGCTAAATTATTCCAAGTAAAAAAAGAAAGACCGACCAACAAGGGAAGAATACATCAAGATTAATTTACAATGCCACAAAATATGCCATAAATATATATGTGATTCATAAACGTTTGGCAGGATTACCTCATGTGGCAAAAGCTTTTAATGTTCTCCTCGACACCGCCTTCCAGATAATTATTTACGTTGCGATTCAAAAGTATTTGATCTCTTACAGATTTTTTCAACAACAGTCCAGCAGATCCCAAAAACAAAAAACAAGAACAGTTTTTAGCTCTGCCGTCTGAAAGTGACATCATGTAGAGTAAGATAAGTCCTGAACCAACACAAACTGAAAGTGAGGAGGAAGCCATCGCTCTAAAAAAAATGTAAGGAAACCAGTTTACACATGCACACAAACCTTTGGCTTTGGAGATCATGTGGTCAGATGAAAACTAAAGTGGAACATTGAAGGAACATCTAAAGACATAAGTCAGGAAGTCAAAGCTTGGCTGCAGATTGGTTTTCCAAATGGACAATGACCGTCAACATACAGCCAAATTAGTTACAGAGAGACTTAAGAACATCACAATAATGCACCTTTCCCCTCACTCCCATTTACGCTGTTGGGATCAAAGTCAATGTTTAGGTGTGGCCGTCACAAAGCCCTGATCGCAACCAATGAGTGAATTGTGGGTAGGTGTGAAAATGTGACGGTTCCACCAGTTTTATCAGGAGGAATGGACCAGAAATCCAGCAAACTCCTGTGAGAGACCAGGGGAAGAAAACCAAAGTCATTCAGTTCAAAGACAGTGCTACCAAATGCTCAGGAAATGTATGAAAACTTCTGATTTTGAAGACATAAATAATAAATCTCTAAAGAGATGATCTTCCTTGTAACTGTGACATTTAGAAAATAGAAATAATGTCGGTTGTTAGAAACGTAAATGCTGCTTTACAGCAGACGTACAATGCCTGACCGTCAGTTCGTGACCTTATGTTCAAACATAAACAATCTGAAGCAGAGGAGTAGTTTCAACTTAGAATGGCTTTAAAAATGTTTTGGAGAGTCCTAGTCAAGATCAGGACCTCCTTCTCACTGACAGGCAGTGGCCTTCAAAGCCCTCCGCAAAGAAAAGCGGCTCAAACTTCCTCCACAGTGATCTAAAAAAAACTGCTTCATCCTAATTGTCAACAGTTTTGTCAGATAGTTTTGGATATCGGATAGCTCTGATCGACGTTCTCTGTCTGATATTAACCTTTGTTTGATGGTTTACAATGTTTTAGAGAGACAAAAAAAGGAAAACCAGAATCTGTAAGAGGGTAGACACTGTTTCGGCACTTTGGTACCATTTAGAAAACCGAGCAGCTCTATCTTCTTACAGCCACAAACCCGCTCGCTATTTAAACTGCTGAAGCCAATGTGCCGCACATTTCTGTACCAATACCTGGCTTTCCGCCACAGTGTCACAATTGCCTTGACGGTTACGCCAGTCTCACTGTGGAAATCAGCAGACACCCTCCGGCTCGCTCAAAGGCCAATAAGCAACAGCCGAAGAAATCTTCAAATTTGTTTCAAGACAATTTCACACATCCACTGCATGCGAGGCTCCCTCCAGACCCCCTGCAGAGACTCTGCAGCAGCTCCCCGAGTGAAAGCCACTGCAGATTACTCTGAGTGAAGCAAAGTGACTGATTGAGCTGATTTCCTTGCTTTTTGTTGTTGTTTTTTTTATTCTTTTTCTTTTTTTTTTTTTTTTTTACAATTTTTCCTCTTAGGGACGTAGAGGAGGAGTTGGAGGTGGTGTGGCAGGCGGCAACACGGGAGAACCAGCAGATGAGGGAGACGCTGTTGGACACGAAGCTGAGCGGGGAGCTGTCGGCCTGGGCGCTTTCCCCCGACTGCCCTGCTCAGACTTCAGAGGAGGCCAGCAAATCCTCCCTGCTCCAGCAGAAGCATGGGCTGGATTTCTATTGCTGAAGACCCAAAGACTAAAGCTGGCAGCGTCTGAACATCAGAGGATGGTAATGGTATCTGGGTCACGCTTTCTTTTTGTTTTTTGTTTTTGTAAAATGAAAGAGCAAACAATCAATAACACTAGGAAGAAATGTATCCTGGCCTGGAAACGCACTTTACTGCACTTTTTATTTTGACATTTGACATGGCATTTTACTTGATTTGAGCATATTTGTTGTTATTTTTCTGTCATAAAATGTGCCAAGAACAACTGAGAGAGTGAGATGAAGAGTAAAATGGGAAGGTGAAACTTGATCGAAATGTCCTGAAGTCAAAAGGCAGTGGCGCCACCTACTGGACACGACGAGGCAATGACTCTATTGCAGCCAGAGAGCAGGACAGTGACCAGGCTGTGTGGGTGTAAATAAACACCCACCATCTGTACACTGGATGAACAGAAATAAGATCAATAATGTTAAATACATTGACATTTAAATTCACTTGGAGGAGATTAAAAATGTATATGTCAAGAGAGTTTTCTCTGATAGATGTTGAGAAGATATTTTAGACATATTTAAGAATGTTTATATATTTGTACGTCCTCCACCTGTAATTTTAAGCACAACTTTTATGATTGTAAATAATAAAGCAACAAATCACATCTGGGAGCCTGAGTTTTGTTTGTTTGTTTGTTTGTTTGAAAGTCCAAGGTAGTGTAACCATGTAATATTTTGACTCGAACTAGGAGTTGGACTAAAACACAGATGGTCACAATTTCTGATCGATGTTATCAGAAAATATGACGACATAAAACAAAATTATGTATTTATACTTAAATATAGTCCATGTGACTTTAGGCTGTGAAGGAGTGAGAAGGAAGACTAAAATATGGTATGTGGCCATAAGGCTACATCCATCCATCCATCCATCCATCCATCCATCCATCCATAATACTGGCTTAAAGGACCAGTATTATGTGTTTTCCAGCCAGTATCACTTTGGTAACTATGTTACCTTCAGTTGTCAGAAAAACTTATCGTCTCTTTAAAAGCTCCTGCTCTTCCTGAAAACATCAGGAAGTCATAATAACTTGGCTCCTCTGTTTACCACTTCCAGTAACCATGAAGAGACTCAAAGAGCCAAATGTGTTCGGTTTAGGTTGCATTAGTGTGTGAGTTGTTATTTTAATCGATGAATGTTTGAGGCGACGATCGGATTTCCACACAAAAGCCTTTCATTTTACTAAATATCTGTTGTGCTCTGGTGAGAAAGAGATCCGTTTCTAAGACCAAGCAGTCTTTAAAAACTGCTGATTCTGCAAAAATCTGAACTATTTTAGCATGTAGTACCAAGTTAGAACCAGCAGGAGGCGCGCTTCTAACAATAAATAATACATATTTCTTTCTTGGAGTCTGAACTACTGCTACAAACAAAACGAAAATGCTGAACAGAACTTTATGGGTGGTATTTGAAACTGAAACATGATCAAACCGAAGTGTTTAGTAACAGAGCAAAGACATGGAGCTTTTACTGAACAATGTAAAGACAACGTACAAACAAAGACTCAACCAACTCTCCCCAAGAAAACTCAACAAGTTCCCAGATTCTCACTGCAGGCAGGTGATGCTGAACGCTGTTGAAATGAAATGGCATCAATGATCTGCAACCCAGAAACATGATTTATCAGTGAGGTCACATTAATCTAGATATGAATGTTATGAATATCATTGTTTTTTTTTTCTGTACAGTCTCAGTTGAGTTTAGTTTTCTATGAAAGGAACATCAGTTATTAACATTTTACTGCTACTCAAAAATAATTATGTAGACCAGTACAATGGGAAGGTTACTTTTTCTTCAAATCAAAAAACACTAAAATTTTATATATTTTTAAGAAAGATACACTTATTTATACATTTAGGGCCAGAAATATTTGGACAGTAACACAATATTTGTGAGTTGGGCTCTGCATGCCACCACATTGGATTTGAAATGAAACCTCTACAACAGAATTCAAGTGCAGATTGTAACGTTTAATTTAAAGGGTTGAACAAAAATATGTGATAGAAAATGTAGGAATTGTACACATTTGTTTACAAACACTCCACATTTTAGGAGCTCAAAAGTAATTGGACATATAAACATAACCCAAACAAAAAAGTTTTTTCTCAATATTTTGTTGCGAATCCTTTGGAGGCAATCACTGCCTTAAGTCTGGAACCCATGGACATCACCAAACGCTGGGTTTCCTCCTTCTTAATGCTTTGCCAGGCCTTTACAGCCGCAGCCTTCAGGTCTTGCTTGTTAGTGGGTCTTTCCGTCTGAAGTCTGGATTTGAGCAAGTGAAATGCATGCTCAATTGGGTTAAGATCTGGTGATTGACTTGGCCATTGCAGAATATTCCACCTTTTTGCTCTCATGAACTCCTGGGTAGCTTTGGCTGTATGCTTGGGGTCATTATCCATCTGTACTGTGAAGCGCCGTCCAATCAACTTTGCAGCATTTGGCTGAATCTGGGCTGACAGTATATCCCGGTACACTTCAGAATTCATCCGGCTACTCTTGTCTGCTGTTATGTCATCAATAAACACAAGTGACCCAGTGCCATTGAAAGCCATGCATGCCCATGCCATCACATTGCCTCCACCATGTTTTACAGAGGATGTGGTGTGCCTTGGATCATGTGCCGTTCCCTTTCTTCTCCAAACTTTTTTCTTCCCATCATTCTGGTACAGGTTGATCTTTGTCTCATCTGTCCATAGAATACTTTTCCAGAACTGGGCTGGCTTCTTGAGGTGTTTTTGGGCAAATTTAACTCTGGCCTGTCTATTTTTGGAATTGATGAATGGTTTGCATCTACATGTGAACCCTTTGTATTTGCTTTCATGGAGTCTTCTCTTTACTGTTGACTTAGAGACAGATACATCTACTTCCCTGAGAGTTTTCTGGACCTCAGTTGATGTTGTGAACGGGTCCTTCTTCACCAAAGAAAGTATGCGGCGATCATCCACCACTGTTGTCTTCCGTGGACGCCCAGGCCTTTTTGAGTTCCCAAGCTCACCAGTCAATTCCTTTTTCCTCAGAATGTACCCTACTGTTGATTTTGCTACTCCAAGCATGTCTGCTATCTCTCTGATGGATTTTTTCCTTTTTTTCAGCCTCAGGATGTTCTGCTTCACCTCAATTGAGAGCTCCTTTGACCGCATGTCAAAGGAGGCTCTGCATTACAGAGCTATGATTCCTAAACCCTTTCTCCGATTTGGATGTGGAAACTCTCATACTGCAGCTGGGAGTGTGCACTTTCAGCCCATATTATATATAAATTGTATTTCTGAACATATTTTTGTCAACAGCTAAAATAACAAAACCTGTGTCACTGTCCAAATATTTCTGGCCCTAACTGTAATTTCAAAAATGGCCACCAGAAACATTTTCGTGCAGATTTTGTTGTGGCCCCACAAACAGGTCGTCACATGAAGTCAAGACACTGAAATCTGACTCAGTGGACGACATGATGGTGATCTGCAACATGCGAGTTGTTTTAAACAGGCCCAAAATGTCGCTCTGGTAACACGTTAATAATCTGCAGGAAAACAATGATTTGTTAAATAAAGAGAGAACAAACACTTCCACAGACATTTGGAGAATTGATGTACCTATCTGTGGAAGCTGCAGACACACATGGATACATTCTGTTGTTGCAGTTTCTCTCACTGAAGGAGCAAACAGGAACACCGACTGCTTCTTAAACAAGAGTCAGTTCCCTCCACGTTAAGGTGTGTCGTACCTCATTGCTACACTTTATCAGGACATCCACACTTTTCTTTGTTATTACCATCTTTTTCTTTCATGTCTCCTGTCCTTGGTTATGAAAATATGTTCTGAATTTGTAGGTCTGGGCAGTGTGTTGCAGTCTTTGCTCTAAATTTGTACAAGATGCGTTTTTCTCATTAACACACTTTGATAACCACCAAGAAACAGCCATAAATAGAAAATGATTCACCATTACAGGGTTTTTTTTTGTTTGTTTGTTTTGTTGTATTTTGTGTTTTTTTTTTTTTTGGTTGCCCTGGACTTTTAGCTTAAATTTGCATTTACGCTGAAAGTCAGCCAGACTTTTATCGTTTTAGGTTGATGTACTGTAACTGATTGTAATTGTTGTGTCATCCAGGCTGTCGGCAGGGAACAGCAGGACGTTTACCTCTGAGCAGACCAACCTTTGATCTTCATAAAAAGTGAGGCAGAGGGAAACTCTCCAGGCATCTCGGCAGAGTCCGAGTTAACAGGCTGCAGAGGCGCCGCTCCGTCCACTCTGAGGTACTCTTCTGTTTATGCCAACACTTCTCTTTCAGGTCATTCACAGCTGATTTTATTAGCTCGGCCTCGTTTTGATCAGGATTGTTCAGTCAATTTATTTAGTCTTTTTTTGTTTGTTTGTTTGTTTGTTTGTTTGTTTGTTTTTTACTCTTTAAAAGATGCCATTTGCCTTTTGCAAGTAAAAACATAAAGTATCAGTGTTTTTGTTTTAATAATAGTATAAATTTTTTTTTTTTTAAAAACAGGGTTTTAATTGTGTCCAGATCTAAAACTTTCTTCTCAACTGCAATGCAATTAGATTATCCACTTTTAGCTTGTGATAACTCTCTGTGCATACACATTTTGGTTGTATGCACATTGTTTTTGCAGAACATTTGTCTTCCAGCTCCTTGTTTCTTTCAAAGTGAGAGAATTGTCTTTCCTCAGTCAATATTAGTTATCAGACCGCAGTCATGCAGCCTGCAGCCTGCACTGCTGGTTATTAGCACTGTGAGTTTAAATGGACTTGCGGTTTAATTCAGCTGGTCGCCGTTTTTGCCAAGATTTGTGGAGTGATTTTGAGTTGACAGTATCTTACCTGTGGAGCTTTAACCATTTCTGACACTTAAGAGGGAATAATAAAAAAGGAGGTTTAAATGTCCTGCTTCAGGAATTTTAAAGGCAACCAACAAGTTAATACCCACAATGCATTGGATGAATGAATCCCTGCAATATTTCAACTGTGCTATGGGTTCATCATCATCAGAAGAGAATACACCAATGTGTCTGATCAGCCGTTTTTAAAACACGTTAGCTAACGGTGATGACTGACTAAACCAAACTGATGGAAGTAAACAGGAAAAGTCCAATTAGGTTCCGATCCACCTTGCAGTCAAATCTGGAAAATCAGTTTTTGTGACTCAAACATTGTGCTTGGACACAGTGACAATGCAATAAATGTAAAATAACATACTAGAAAACGTTAACAGTTATTGTCTCAATCACCAGACACTTGAACTTTGACAGTACCAGAGAAATGGGAATTAGAAAGAAGAAAAAAAACAAGTCAACTCGTAGTTCCACAAAAGCTTCTGAGAAGATAACTCCCTTACATAACGTTAAAAAACAAACGTGTTAAAGACGAATCGTGAAGCTGAATTTCATACTAAAAATCTGATTTTATTCAAAGTATATTGCTTATTTTTTGCTTGTAATGTTTTTTTTTGTTGTTGTTTTTTTTTTTTTAGAAATCTTTCAGAAAACTAAATACTTTCAGAACTACTTTTACTGTTATTTGAGTAATATCCTGTTTTCATTCAGTTTATTTTATGCTTTTGGTGTTATTTCTCTGTATTTCTTTTTTTTTTAAATCTGTGTTCAGCTCTGTGGATTGTTTGCTGAGGTGTTTCGTTTTGGCTGCTCACTTGTCTTAGGATAAAATGTAGCTGATGTTGTGCTAAATATCGGTTATTTCCTGCATATTTACACTCTGGTGAATTGTGGTCATGTTGCTTAATGTGCACTCTCCTTATCGAGTAAATTAAATTACATGTGAAACTTGATTTCTAACTGGTAGGGTCAGTACTTTGAGTCAAGTTAACAAAACAGAGTATACCACTGAACAGACTCATCTGCTTGGGTCACCAAACTGCAGTTAGTTAGTTAATTAGTTAACTAGTTAGTTTTGATGAGTTGTGCTCCGAAGTGAGGACCTTCTATCTTTGCCATTAGACCGGTGGTCGTAATTCTATGGCTGAACTCTTTATGCCCTCATAATGGTGAGATCGAGTTCTGCCTTTTCAGCTCTGCATAAATTTCACAGTCATGACGAAGAGCAGCGTAATCGTGACTGTGTGTTTGGAGTCGTCTCCCAGAACTTTGACACAGTGGGAAGCAGCACCTGTAATTCATTGACTCTGTAGTTTTAAGTGTCACGATGAAGCAGCACGGATCATCTGCATACATGTCTCATTACTGTTCCTGTTAAAACACCCAGAAGGTTGAAAATGGAGCAGGAGATGCGATGACTCGCTGCAGTCTGATTCTGTCTGTTTAAACGCCGCCTGGTGAATTTTCTTGTCATTTCTCGACTAAGAAACTCGTCCAGTTTTCATTCTGTTTGTCATGCAGGACACAATGAAGGACTCCATAGAGCAGACTGGGAATCGACGGAGATCTTTTGTAAGTCTGCAGAACAAACAGTAACTGTGACTTTACAGTCTGACACTTTCCGTTTCGTCCCTTCAGATCCGCTCCCCTCCTATTGTCTCGCCTGCATCCTGTGTTTTTCTTGCACGGTTCATTGAGGCTCTGAGACTCGTTGGCTGGGATGTCATCTAACTCTGCCTCTTTCTCTTTTGCATCTTCTTGCAAACTTTACACCTCAGACAGATGATGGTCTTCGATGGAGAACCGGATCTGAATTTGCCAGCCCAGATCACGCCGATGCTCCTGGCAGCAGGGTGTCCCACCCCTCCCTGTTTGGGAAATACCAGCCCAGCCTGCAGACTCTCAAGCCCTTCCGCTGGTCTTCCTCACAGTCAGTCTCACTGGCGACATGAATCGCTTTACTTTTTGACATGTTGAGCCCACAAACCTTGACATTTTCCACTGGGTTTAGACGCAATGGACATTAAATCAAACGCATGTCATACCTCCATTTCACAATCATAAAGCTGTTTGCATCAGTCCAACATAAAAATCCCAATACAACACATTGAAGTCAGTGGCTGTAAAGAGTGATGAAAATTTGTTGAATGTATGTGGATATTTCAATTCTGTGCAGATCCCACCCTGTGGACAATGCAGGCTTCTTGTCGTTTACAACCTTTGCCTGGATGACTCCCATGATGTGGGCCATATTCAGGAACAGGCTGGACTTGTCCTCTCTTAGCCTCTCCCCATTTGATGTAGCTGACACCAGCGGAGAGAGGTGAGTGGCTTTAGCTTTTGCTCATGTATGTTTATGATATTGGATGCTCTCACAACATGGACTGTAGAAAAAGAACGCCTCAGCCAGGTTGCTAAGCTTTGAACCTAAGGTCTTGTCTTGAATTCAATGCTAAATACTTTGTCAAAAGGATGGAAACTGGGGGGAGGTTGACTTCCTGTTCTTGCACCGCGTGGCCAAAGTCAGGGGGTCACCTCATCTGGAGGCTGTAAAATAGTGGAAAAACGTCCTTTGAGGATCACCAGCTTTATTTATGAAGCACTTTAAAAAACCATCAAAATTTGCAAAGTGCAAAAAGAAGAAAAATAATTCAAATTGTTGGTGATATAGTGTATGCTGCAGGGGCTGGTAAGAGTGCCCTCATTTCAAGGCGAATGGCTTAGCAAACAGTTTTTGCCGGAAGTTGCTGGTGATGCAACCAGCGTCACGTTGTTCCATCAGACCTGAAAGTCGTCCTCACAGAACTCAGCAACCAGCCAAAAATATTTCTGTCTTGCAGGTTGCAGAGACTCTGGGAGGAGGAGGTGGCGAAGAAAGGCCTGGAGAGGGCGTCCCTGGTCAAAGCCGTTCTCCGCTTTCAGAGAACGAGGCTCATTCTGGCCGTCTTCATCGGCACCTTCGCCATGGGAGCAGCTTTTGTTGGCCCAGTGAGTTTAAGATAAATAGCTCCAGTTAAGTTAGATCGATGCACATGTCAGCATTAATTGTCATATTTAGGTAAGTGTTTTAATTAGATTTAAGTCAGGGGCTTTGACTAGGCCATTCCAAAGCTTAGGTATTCTTTGATTTTCATTCCACCTTGGTGCTATTTGTATGTTTATGCTGCAAAAACACAAAATCTTACCAGGTATTTATGTTTAGTGATATACGACGTTAGTCACAACGCACTGTGGAACTCGACGTGTCCTCACAACACGCCTGTCTTGTTATGTTTCCACGTCTTCCTGTCCCCCCTCAGGGCATCCTGGTCAACAAAGTCCTGACCTACATAGAAAGCCCAGAGAAGTCCACGGTGGCCCATGGCGTCGGCCTGGCTGTGGCTCTGTTCTGCACCGAGTTCCTCAAGGCGTTCTTCATCTCCCTGATGTGGGCGGTCAACCTGCGGACGGCCGCCAGACTGAAAGGAGCCTTCTCCTCCATGGCCTTTCAGAAGGTCATCTCTCTGAGGGTGCACAGCGGCATTTCAATGGGAGAGGTAAAGCATGGCGCAGTCGCCAGACGCGGCAGTAATTACGGAGGCTTTGAAATCCGCTCGCCGTCTCTCCCGTCAGATGATAAACGTCTTGACCAGCGACGGCCACCGGCTGTTCGAGGCGGTGCTGTTTGGGAGCTTCGCGCTCTGCGCACCGGTGATCTTCATCGCATGCATTGTGTTGGCCTGCGTTGTTCTGGGTTACACCGCATTGACGGGAGTCTGCACCTACATCATCTTCGTCCCCGTGCAGGTCAGCAGCTCGTGTCACAAGCCCCACAGAGTTGGTTTGTTCTGGTTGAGCATTAAGCATTGATAGTAAGAACAAAATGCACCGAGTTTCATCCCTAAAGGATCATTTTAGATAAAAAGTAAAGAAAGAATTTAGATGTGGATCTAATTTTCCAGGATCTGCTCTAACCAATAGGAAGCAGCCATATGGAGAGGAGGTAGATTGGCTCAAGCAAAACTAGCACTGCTTTAACATGTTCTTGCTCAAGTAACAGCTGAAAGTAGCCGTCCAAGAAATGACCCAAGAGTAAAAAGTATTTTGGAAAAAGGCGACTCAAGTACTGATACGTTTAATATTTAAAAGTAGTGTTAACTCAAGTAAGAGTAGCAATACTGCACAATAAAATTAAGGTAAAAGTAAAAAAAAATACCGTAAAAATACTTCAAAAATCAAATTTCTTTTTGCAGTTTTTCTTGGCAAAGCTCATTAACAAGTTCAGATGGAAAGCCATGCAGCTCACAGACGGCCGCGTCCGAACCATGAACGAGATTCTGAACAGCATCAAGCTCATCAAGATGTACGCCTGGGAGGAATCCTTCGAGAAGAAGATAGCCGGTGAGTTAGGGAGCGGCTGAATGTCGAGCGTCTGGATTCAAAGTCTCACAGAAGTGTTTTTATTACACTTCGTCTTTTTACACATCCTGACGTCAGCGTCATTTTATTTAGGTTTTTAACACACTTAAATCAACATAAAGCAGGCCATAAAGCAGATCTGTGGTACTAACGTTATCTTCCTTCCAGGGTTAAGAAAAAAGGAAAAGAAGCAGGTCCGGTTTGTCAGCTACATCCAGAACATCAACACCAGCATCACCAGCATCATCCCGACCTTCGCCACCGTTCTCACCTTCTTGGTGCACACTCTGCTGGGTTTGCCGCTCACCACATCCGACGTATGTCGCGCCTGATTCATGTCTGCCAGACCATTGTCATTTCCATTCGGTCTTAACCCTGCCTGGTGTTCTCTGATATCAACAGGCCTTCAGTACCATCGCTATATTCAACTCCATGAGGTTCTCCCTCGCTCTGATGCCGCTGTGCGTGAAGGCTCTTGCTGAAGCCGCTGTGTCCATCAAGAGATTAAGGGTACAGTTTCAAACAGTGAACTTTTTGTGCTTGTTTTTTAACCCTAACCCTCACATAAGATCCATGTAATATGTAAGGAAGTCAGTGATAAGCACTCTAAAACCGATATGGCTGTATGTATTAAGAGATTTATTGCAATATTTTGTGGTACTATTGCGATAACAATCAAAACTAACAAAAAACTGTATTCCGCAGCATCACAAAATCTTATCAAGTGTTTTTGGACTTATTTACTTAAAACAAACTCCTATTTCTGGCTCACAAGTTACTTGTGTTAGGTTTTTTCCTCGAACCTACAATAAAATAACCACAGACAACGTATATGAATTAAATATGGTCAGGCTTCTGCAGAAGGAGAAGTCTCCAATCAACAGCTCCTCCAAGCTGTTCATAGAGAGTTCTGATCTGCTTTCACGTGAGCTCCCTCTTTATTGTCAAAGAAAACAGTCACATGGTGCAGGTCATCAAACAACAGAGGTCGTAAAACATTTAACACAAACAGACCAACAACTCAGTTCCAGGTGTGATATCTAATTCACAATCTGAGCCCAGTTCAGCTCTAGGTCAAACTGTCACCTAAGACTGGGTGGATAAACACCAGAGAAGAAGGTCTGAGAACCATAAAGCTTTACTATCTCGCATGAAGACAGTCGTAACCTCCAAGTCAGCCCATACACACATAAGGAAGAGAACACTTTAACAAAATGATAATATCAAAAAATCTCTAACAACTTGTAAATTAGTTTTATGTGATTTCGAGTGTGCTAAAATATTTGCTGTGGAAATCAGAGCAAAATGCTTGGTAAGAATTTGTGTTTTTTGGGTTGCCAGTTACTTAAAATACGTGATTTATGTCACTAAGCAGCACACAGTAACTGCATTTAATCAAATTTACTGAAATCTATTGACAACAAACACTGGAAAAAATTGTAAAAAAAAAAAAAACACTGTCAATAATTCCATCAATTTTGGTTTTTATTTAATTGACAAAACTTATTGAGACAACAATAAATCAATTTTTTCTCATGATAAAAAAATGTGTTCACGATAAGCGATAAGCGATATGATAAATGCCCCTGATTCGATGCGCGGCTGCTGTTTCAGAAACTCCTGCTGGTCCAGAATCCCGAGCCCTACCTGGAGCAGAGGAAAGACAACCACACCGCTGTAGAGATGAGAAACGCAACGCTGTCCTGGACCAAAGCAGCCAGCGGGCCGGACCTCCCCAACGGCCAGAACGGCCAGGTGAAGAACCACAAGCAAGACGAGACGGATCTGAGTGAGAGCTTACCGACGCTGAAGAACATCTCCTTCACTCTGCCCAAGGTCTGCAGCGAATCCGGTGAGCTTGTTGTGGACCCAGCTGACGGGCAACTAAAGGGCTCTGTTTTTGCTTCCTGAAGGGCAACCTGCTGGGCGTGTGCGGCAACGTGGGGAGCGGAAAGACGTCGCTCATTTCCAGCATTCTGGAACAGGTTGCTTTATCTTTTTGTTTTCTTTCTCAGAATTTCTATAGATTTTTTCACGTTTCTTTTGCTCCATCATACTTTGCCCTCTCGCCACCTAGTTTTTGTTGAGCTCCTGCGGTCTCAGCGATCTTCTCGTTTTCTTGCAGATGCACCTTCTTCGGGGCTCCATCACAGCTGACGGGACGTTCGCCTACGTCTCCCAGCAGGCCTGGATTTTCCACGGAACCGTTCAAGAAAATATTCTGATGGGCGAAGCTTTCGACCAGGCCAAGTAATTATACGGCAGTTATCGTATCGTTTATCATATATCGTGATAACAGTTTAGATTTATCATTGTTGAGATAAATTCCAATTTATTACATTTAAAACCCTCCAAAACTGTCCATCTTGTCAGGATTGATATTTTTAAAATTTTCTCCACTGTTTGTTCAATGGGAGCATCATTGAATATTGATGTATTTGAAAATATGACTAAAAGCGGTTATTGTTGTGCAGTTTAGTGATGCAAAGCGCTCTTGCTTAAGTGACTGGTGTGCTAAAGACATGTGTTATAAATGGGAATGTTTTTATAGGACACTGTTTGTGCTTGAGGGGCCATGTTTGCTGTGTCATGCAGTCACAGCCACACAGAGTCCTAAAAACAAAGAAATAAATACAGTTTATTGTCACTTTTATCACTATATAAGTCCATAGAGCTCAACCCTGCTGCACTACCACTACTAGTTTGTTAGAGTGTTGGCTAAACATATCAAATGATAATCTATGCTAGGTGTCCTGTGCTATCACAAGCCGAATGTTAAAGTTAAGGTTTTTTTCTCGAAACGCAGTCTACTTTGGAGGTTATCTCACATGAAAAATGTTTGACGAGGAGATGGTCAAGTCTGACCTATCACGGCGGTTAGACGAGGGCAGGAGTCATCTGTGTTATCTGGCAGCTTTGTGCTAGTATAAGGCTCTCTGCACATAGTGAGGACTTTATGGGGAGAGACTTGAGTAAGTTACGATAAGAATTGTCCGTAAAGATGTACGAGTTAAGCTCCAGTTGAATAATTCACGGGATAAATGTGTTTACTGGTTTAAATGTCTAAAGAAAGGCAGCTGTTATCACTGAGGCAGCAAAAAGTCTGGCTAACATTCAGATATAAAATGACATAACGATGCTTCTCATGGTTTGTTGACATATTTCCGAATGTTTTTATGATTGTTCCATTCTCTACAGAGCTGGGAAAAAGTATTTGCCCCATTAGAGATTTCTTTTGCTTTGGAATATCAAGCAAATTTTGATATCAGTAAAAGATTAAACACAAAATTCAGTTTTCTACTGAGAGCTTCACTTCCTTTTCGAAAATGTGACAGGAAGTTGCATGTTCCTGTTACAGTGCTGGCTGTTTCGGCCTTCTCTTTATTGGAGAATTGTTCTACATTAGTCTAGTTATCATGTACACAGAAGCTCCTTCCAAAGAATCTTAGTGGGATCCAAACCCAGAATTTGTCTAGGCCATAATTCTCTTTTTTGAGGTGATATTTGCTAATGTGCCTCGGATGATTTTCCTGCTCCAAAGTCGCCGCAGACAATCAGACTCCCACCATGTTTAAGTGCATTAATGTTACTCCGGATGTAAGTTACATCTGTCGTGTGTGTCGCCTGTTACGGGATGCACACCTTCCAAAAACCATCAGGAAATGTGAGCTTGGTCTTTGTGTTTTTTTGCCCAATTTTTTTGCTTATTGTCGAATCACGGGTACTGCCACCAGCTGCATTTCTATCACAAATATACGCAAAACTTTGTCAGTTTTCCGCTAACGTTGAAAAAACCCAATTTCCATTGCAGTTTTTCAATATAGCTTATTTTTATGCGCCAAAAAATCTCGCTGCATCCTAGTGGTGAAAAGTTTTTATCGACAAATGAGTTGTTTTTTTTTTTTTAAAAAACTGCCTCGATTCTATTAAGTAAATTTTTTTTCAAAATGCCAAATTGAGAAATTGCACGGTCAATGGACACACAGCTCATGGCTAGCAGAGATTCCGAGGCCTACAGGGCTTTAGACATTATTTTTATGAAAAAAACAAGGACAGCCTGAGTGTCTATTTGAGCCCTCAAATAGACAAATTAGCAGTTTGTCTTTGATTGGGTTATCCTTGTCTGATATTAAATTTCGTTTGATCTGAAACATAAAGTGAAACAAAAAAACAGATTTTCACAACGCCACAAGTGTCAAACTAAAAGCCGTCTTGCGTTTATGTTCTACAGATATGACCGGGTTTTGGATGTGTGCAGCCTCAGAGCCGACCTTAAGATACTTCCATATGGAGATGGGACCGAGGCAAGTGATCTCTTTAACCTTCTTCTGCCAGCATTCCTGTTTTGGGTCTGGCCATACATATACGAGTATCTACAGACACTCATTTTGAATCTGAATCTGACTGACAGGAATGTCAGGCTTATTAAAAATATGTTCATTTTCTGTGCACTAAATACTTGCATGAATTTCTGCATCAATGTGGCTTGACGGGGAACAGAAACTTTAGTGATCAGAGTGGACAGGAACTCCTTCCACTTAACCTTTTGATAATAAAACCACTTAACTTTCTCACAACATTAAAATTTTCTGAGGCACTAAACTTTGGGTGTTCATTATCTGTAAGCAGAAATCATCAAAATGACAAGAAATTAAGGCTAGAAGTATTTCTCTCTATGCGTAATGAATCTACGTGATATTGGAGTCTCACTTTCTGTAGTGAGTGACACAATATTCAAGTTTTTCAGTCCCATTTTCAGGTGGATTTTTAAAAACATTTTATCAATAGTTCTTATGTTGCTGTTGTTTTTTTTTTTTGGTTGCTCAGATTGGAGAACGGGGGCTGAACCTGTCAGGAGGACAGAAGCAGAGGATCAGCCTGGCGAGGGCCGTCTACGCCAACAAAGACATCTTCCTGCTGGACGATCCGCTGTCCGCCGTCGATGCCCACGTGGGGAAACACATCTTTGAAGAATGCATAAAGAAAGAGCTTCAAGGAAAATCCATCATCCTCGTCACACATCAACTGCAGGTAGGATGACGCAAACGTTTTGTCAAGAGGGACAAAAACTGTCAAGTTGAATGTAATTGAGGGCCACAACATTTTGATTTTTAATTAGATAACAAAAGATATGTCTCACTTTTACCTGCAAGAATACGAACAACATGCAATATTTAGTAGTATAAGTTTGATTCCCATAGAGGTTTGCGTTATTTATTTATGTATATATAAAAAAAACTTTTCTTTTTTAAATTGCAAACGGTATTCTGTCAGTTTTTTGATTATTATTCAAACGATAAGAACAGAATGTGGATCGCTTGTTCTTTAATAACTTGAGTACAAATCACTGTATTTTTGTGGTTTTGTTTACGATGATGTTTGACAAAACATGAGTATGTTGTGTTGTACGTTCCACTTTTAGAAGCTTTGATTTTTGTATCTTTTTTAAAAGGCAAGGGAAAACATATGGCATCATTTTTTTAACTGGATCTACATCTAACCTGGAGCCGGAAAACGAAGTTTGTGCCATTTTTGTCTAAATCCCCGTAAGGGCCACAAAAGGCCCCTGGGCCACACTTTGGGCACCCCTAACTTCAAGGAATATAAAAGGAAGAGATTATTATCATAATAAAAATCACAATAAAGTAATTTTTCCTATTTTGATTAAAATTTTGTGTGTGCCAGTTTTGCCCATTATAGTGAAAAATATGTTTGGACATAAAAAAAATAAAAAAAAAGCTTTACTGAGTCGATTGCTTTGGTGTGCGTGTTGCAGTATCTGGAGTTCTGTGACGACATCCTGGTCCTGGAAGAGGGCGAAGTGAGGGAGACCGGGAATCACCAGGCACTGATGAAGGCCAATGGACGCTACGCTCAGCTCATCAGCAACTACCAGATGGAGCAGTCGGAAGTGAGAGCAGCACAGAATGTTTTTATGAACTTTGGCCTTATCGTTCTACAAGCGCAGGCTATTAAACGGAAGAATCAGCTGTAAAACAAGCTGTGACCACCGGCTTCTTTATTGTTTGTGAATGTCAGACACAGACGGAGGAGAGAGAGGAGGAGGAAGTGGCATCCCACAAAGACGCTGCTGAGGTCAGACTGCGTGCCGACAGTGGGATAGTGAACCCCGGTATGAAAACAAAGACTCTATTTCTGTGGAACATGAAAAATAATTGTTGTAGAATGTAATTAATGACTTAAAACAAACTCCTATATCTTGCTGAAAAGTTACTTATAAGTTAGTTTTGTCTAATTCCAAACACACTGATATATTTGCCTTAGAAACTAGACCAAACACACTTGGCTAGTTAGGTCCTGGGGTAGTTTGTACTTTTAGGAGTTAGCTTTCTTCTAAGAGTTACACGTCAGCTTGTTATGTTAATCACTGTTAGTTAAAGCTGAGTTTTATAACTGCTGTAGTTGTGATGGAGAAAATAACATCTGTGCCTCTTTTCAGTTTTTGACATGTCAGATGAAGCTGATGATGGCGCGCCAGCAGACCAGAGGCGTAAGTAAACAGGAGTCAGTAAACTGTAGACTGTGATGCTGACCCAACGGTTGGTTCTGGGCCCAGACCAACGACACAGAACAGCCTCAAAATGGAAGACCAGAACCTTAAAGACAGCAATTCACAAAGTTTCACTGGATGGTCGATAGCTGTTTCATTTCTGCTTTAACTTCACTAAACAAGTTACTTTGATTTGTTCAGATTTTTAGGACTCGCTCATGTTTTCTTCTACTTATATCCAAATGTTTTCATCTTATTAAAATGTTAGTAGAAGCAGGTTTACCTTTAATTTTAACAACCATGACGAAATAAACAAAATTAGAGGAACACTGACTATGAAAGCTTCAAAAATAGCAAACTTTTATCAGTATGGCAGCGCAGAAAAACCTCAGTCATAAAGCAGCACAAGTAATTCAGGAAGTAAATGAGGAAGGGTTGAATTTGAAATATGCGTAGCTTTATTAAGGACTGGTAAGACATGCAAATACAGGCAAAATCAAGACAAATTGAGAGAGTTATTGAAGACCTCTGGTGGGTACAAGAAGTGTCACAGCGAATGAATAAAGCACAAAACTGGTCAGACAATCTCAGATACAGTATTAGGCTGTACAAATAAATTATGTTTCAATCAAACAAGGATTTCATTTGATGGTTTTGTTCCCATTCAGCCGCTGTGACGGGTGAAGATCAGCTGGTGAGTCAGGAGTCCTCCACAGAGGGATCTGTGTCCTGGAGAGTCTACCACCAATACTGCCAGGCAGTTGGAGGTCTGACACACACACGCACACGCACACACACGCACACACACACACACACACACACACACACACACACACACACACACACACACACACACACACATGCACGTGCACTTACCAGACTCTGCAGCAATGTTCTTCAGATATCCTCTTCATGGTCGGTTTTATTCAGTGAAACTGTTTGTCTGCAGGTTACTTCGTCACCTTCCTCACCATCTTCATCATAGTCCTCATGATCGGGTCCACAGCCTTCAGCAACTGGTGGCTAAGCTACTGGCTGGGGCAGGGTGACGGGGTGAGAATCCAATCACTTTGTCCTTCCTGTCACAATAAGTATTCATGGACTCTCATAACTAGAGATGCATCATGCACAGTTTTCCCATCCTGATGGATCCAAACTGTTTGATTCAGAAGAGGAAAAGAGTGCAGCAGGTGCTACGATAAAGGATGTAGTTTCGAATCCAATAAATACAGAAATTACAAGTTCATTCCTATTTATGCATTAGGACACGTCTCCACCGTATCAAACTGAACACAATTGCATCATCATTGTTGTTTTTGTTGGAAACACATAATGGGGCTAGAAAGATAGCTAGCTATAGCTAGAAAAAGAGCAGTATTCATGTTTGGTGCAGATAGATAGATAGATAGATAGATAGATAGATAGATAGATAGATAGATAGATAGATAGATAGATAGATAGATAGATAGATAGATAGATAGATAGATAGATAGATAGATAGATAGATAGATAGATAGATAGATAGATAGATAGATAGATAGATAGATAGATATCTATATCTATCTATCTATCTATATATATATATATATATATATAAGCTAGCTATTTATCTGGCTTAAATATTTAGCTGGTTATTCATTTAGGCAACTCGACAAATCACTAGCTAACTAGTTAGATAAATAGGTATGTAGCTCTTTATTCCTGTGTAAATAGCTAGCTACCATATTATTAGCCAAAAAATTGGCTTGCTAGCTTGCTATATATTTATCTAACTTATTGCACCAAACATAAAATATATTAAAGGTAAAGGTAATTTTATTTTTATAGTACATTTTCAGCAACAAGGCAATACAGGAATTAAAAGGAAAACAAACAAAACGATAAACCAAAGGAAAGAGCAAAAAAAGAAAAAAGAATCTAATGTTGATGTAAAGTATGTAAATTAGCTGCTCCCGTTCAGGATTGCTGAGTATCCTCTGGTCTAATTCCATTTCATTTAAACCTATTTCTAGTCATTGATTCTCTAATATATTTATGTTTTCTTTTGTTTAGTCCAATTCGACTTCTAACTCTGGAAATGTGACTTCTAAACCGGGTGACGTCTCCCAAAATCCCCGCCTGCACTTCTACCAAATGATTTATGGAGTGATGATCCTCGTCACGTTGGTCCTTGCTGTTATCAAGTGCTTTTTTTACACTCATGTCACACTGAGAGCTGCCTGCAAACTCCACGACAGCATGTTCCGAAAGGTACTGTGGAAAATCTGGACTCAGCAGAGATCAGTTCCAGTCCACAGCGAGAATGTCGTTTCCTGTCTTCCCAGATTCTTGCCAGCCCGATGAGTTTCTTTGACACGACGCCTACTGGACGAATTCTCAACCGCTTTGCTAAAGATCAGGAGGAGTTGGACTCTGTGCTTCCTCTCCACATGGACCCCTTCCTGCAGTTTTGTCTCCTCGTCACATTCACCATCGTCATCATCGCCTCTGTTTTCCCCGCCATGCTGGTAGCTGTGGTTGTCATGGGTGTTTTATTCACCCTTATTCTCTTGTAAGTCCAACGCCAGTCAGGCCAGTGTCGGATCAGAAAGCTGTGGATTCAAAGAATCCATCTCTTAATGGAAGATTCTTTTTCTTCAGCGTATTTCAGAGAGGCATTCGTCAGATGAAGAAGATGGAGAACATCAGCCGCTCTCCGTGCATCTCTCTCACTACCTCCACCCTGCAGGGCCTCAGCACCATCCATGCCTACAACATCAGGGAGAGCCACATAAAACTGTAAGATGTCATCAGGTGATACCTCTCTGACAGACTTCTTGATACTGATCTACTACATATACAACACCTAGTGAAAGTATTTTCCAACACCTTAAAACTTTTCCACTTTAGAATTTTGCGAGAGGGTCAAAGTTGTGAGTCACCGACGTCTTGCCTTTTTTGGGTCAAACTATAGGTTCAAATCTCTGAACGACATCAACTCCAACCATTACTTACTCTTCCACTCCGGCACACGGTGGCTCTCTTTCTGGTTGGACTTCATGGCCGCCTCCATGACGCTGCTGGTGGCTCTGTTTGTGGTACTGAGCAGCAATGACGTCATTAGTCAGTCTCTAAAAGGCCTCACCATGTCTTACACCATACAGGTAAATCTGGACAGCGAACAGGTTCGGGTTTCTTTTGGTATTTGAATCCTTCAGGCTTTTAGCAGCACTGAGGTCTGCATGTCTACCAGCTGACAGGCATGCTCCAGTATGTCGTGAGGCAGTCAACTGAAGTGGAGGCCAGGTTCAATTCGGTGGAACGGCTGCTGGAATACATCACGGTAAGAATCCTTGATAAAGGGGACGCGTTATGCAAAAGTCACATTTTGTACTTCCAGCTGGATCTCCAGACCTCACCGCACCAAAAAGAGCCCAAGCCCTTCAAATAAAAAACACTCAGCCGATTTTGTGGTGTTTGTAAAACGGCCCATTTCCAAAATCAAAAACCTCCAGAATGTAACGTCACAAATCAGCAGGCACTGACCCTCATCTTTTAGAAAGCACTTCATCATCCTGGTGTGTCTAATAACGTTTTGAATTTGTTTGATTTGATTCCACATACAGACCTGCAAATCTGAGGCCCCCAGACACATAAAAGGGGTTAAGATTCCTGACGGCTGGCCCAAAGACGGAGCGATTACCTTCCAGGAGTACAAAATGAGGTACAGAGACAACACGCCTGTCGTCCTGAATGGGCTCGATTTCGCCATCCAGGCTGGAGAGAAGCTGGGCATCGTGGGAAGGACGGGTTCTGGTAAGCGGGTTTCCATCCTGCGTCGTCATCATAGTTACAGAGCAGGACTCAGCCCCTCCCTCTCTCTGCGCTCTGTCTACAGGGAAATCCTCCTTAGGCGTGGCTCTGTTCAGACTGGTGGAGCCGGCGGGAGGGACCATTCTTATAGACGACGTGGACATCGCCGCCATCGGCCTGCGGGATCTGCGCAGCAAACTCTCCATCATCCCCCAGGACCCGGTGCTGTTCACTGGCACAGTCAGGTACCCGCTACTCACACAACTGGTTTTATAAAACAACCACTGCTTTGTGGACCAGTCTCAACCTTACCCACTACACTTACCCACAGGTACAACCTAGATCCTTTTAATCAGTATACTGATGAGGAGATCTGGGCGGTGCTACAGAAAACCTACATGAAGGACTCGGTATGTTACTAAAATGCACAACTCTTCGGATTCCTTGGAGTTTCTAAAAGTATTAATTCTAACCTTCTTAAATAATTTACCAATGGTTCTTAGCTATCGGTGTTTCCTGCTTTTAGTAGTAATCAGAGGAGCTTTCGACATCGGTAAATGCTTGCTGGCTTGTTCTACTTTCTTCGCTTTACTAGATACAGATGATCTGGACCCAGATGATCTGGACCCTCGACCTTCTGGATGGAAGCATGGACTGTGTTGACGTTTTAAAGAACTGGATCTGATTTTACCCAGTCATTAGCATTTGGGCGTTACATATGTAAGGCGTCAGATTGATGAAGCTTACCGGAAATTGCCGGTGCTGTAAACAGCCCCGTAGAAAGTAGGGCCACAACATCTTTGTCAGCAATAAAATGTCTAACTTTAATGGCTCATTATTTGGGAAGCAAAGCCAACATGGACTGAACGTCTTCCTTCAGTTCCTCCGCTGCCATTGCTAATAATACAAGCAAACTATAATTCTAAAACAGTGCAGAAAAACTACGTCATCATTCACGACTTCTGCTGATGTTCGCTGAATTTGCTGAAATCTTGTTCAAGGGAAGAAATCCCAGCCGCGGCAATGAAGGGAGATGAGAATCAAGCAGAATTGCAAAAGAAGGCAACAGTCAGGCTAGCTAAATGCTAATTTGGTTGTGAAATACAGCTAATGAGCTCAAATGACCAAAGCTACAGTATGAGTAGTTGCAGTAACTTGACTTTGACTCTTATAGAGAAGGTTTAGACAGCCATGATCCCAATGTGGTAAACAACTTAAAGAGGGATCCAAGCTTTTGATGCAGCTTTGCTCACAAGTGGAACAAATAAACATGTTCTGCTTTAAAACAAGCTATGATTTGTGCTAACTATTATATATATATATATATATATATATATATATATATATATATATATATATATATACTCATGTAAGATGAAGTGTTAAATACTGTGTGCCTGTGTATTTCCTCAGATCTCCAAGCTAGATGGGACATTGCAGGCTGAAGTGTTGGAGAATGGAGAAAACTTCTCTGTTGGTGAGAGGCAGCTGATGTGTATGGCCAGAGCACTTCTCCGTAACTCCAAGGTCCGTATGCGCGTTCATCCATACTCCTACACTATCACCAGAGTAATCACACCCCTGAATATTGGCTCAATTTGTCATGATGTGGCATTGACACTGAGAGACTAGTTCAACATAGTAGTATGTGATTTTGTAATTTAAAGAAAGATATACAGGAATAACGACACCAAAACCAAAAGAAACCAAAGGAAAACACATTGTCCTACATGCAGAATACTTTGTGTTGAGGGAGAGTTAAACAGCAAATGTTAAACATATTGTTGGCAGCATCAAACTATGGGAAGTAAAGAGAAAACCTTTTTAAAGGCTGCAAAATCAGCCTTGAAACATTAATGAGTCATGAGTTAGAATGACCTAGTCCAAGTCCAGACCTAAATCTAATTGAGATTCTTTGGCTACACTTGAAAAGGATTGTTTTAACAGATGTTCTCCATCTAATTTTAGCAATTCTGCAAAGAATAGGAAAAAATCTTTACATCTGTCAAAAGGAAATAACTTCAGTGGGGGAAATGAAAGCAAATGTGCAGCAAACTGTGCAAACATCAAGTCATTTTCCTCTAATTCTACATTGTTTCACTCCTTTATGGGTCTATCAAATAAAATCACAAATAAATATACTGAAGTTGTCTTTTTGCAATGTAAGACAATGGGGAAAAATATTAATGTGTTTTTTTTTCACTATTCTGTTACATTGGGCATTAGACTAGAAATTTTAGACTGTGAGTGGTTGCCTCATCCTCCATGGTGTGCCTGACAGATCATTCTGCTGGATGAGGCCACGGCTTCCATCGATTCGGAGACAGACGCTCTGATCCAAAACACCATCACAGAGGCCTTCCACGACTGCACCATGCTCACCATCGCACATCGCATCAACACAGTGATGTACGCAGACCGCATCCTGGTCATGGACGACGGAAAGGTGAGCGACACGGAGAGACGACGAGAAACTCTTTTTAAGAGTCTCGTCCCTAAACTTTCTACAAAAGCCAAAAAAAACCCCAAAAAAAAACGACGTGAAAATTTCTGAGTGTGAAAAGCAGAACATTTGCTTGAAAAAACATTGGGATTAACCTCTCAACCTCAGAGGTAAAAATCTTAGAAAAGTCCAAAACTTCTTGAGTTTTCAACGTCAAAAATTTTCGACTTTTTTTTTTTTTTTTTTGCGACTTGTCAAACTCAGTTTAATCAGACATTAATCTCAAAATTTTAGTTTTTTTCTAAACTTTTCAAACTCAAATAAATTTCCGCATTTTTCTTCTTGAAAGTTTTTTCTCGCAAATTTGCAACGTTTCACATTCAGAAACTTCCTTCTTTTTTTTAAAACATTTCTGAGATTATTTTCTAACTTGTGACTTTTCAAATTTAGAAATTTCCTTTGTTTATAGAAAATGTCTGTACTTTTTTCAATTTTTGGGCAGAATTGTATTATTTTTTTTCCATTGACTCGCCGCTGTGCGTTCCCTGACGCGTTCCCTGACGCGTCTGGCTTTGTGTCTTTTCAGGCAGCAGAACTGGGACCCCCAGAAGTGCTGAAGCAGAGACCAGACTCCTTGTTCTCCTCGCTCCTCACTGCTGCTAATACTGTGAACACGTAAAACCTCCAGAGCCACATCATGGAGCGCAGCAGTAACTCACAGCAACAGCTCTTCGTCTCTCAGCCTTGAATCAAGTGCGGCAGAGAGGGAGGGATCAGATGTGGGAAATAAGAAACTTTTATTCTCGTTTTCTTGATATATTTATGTCACAAGTGTTCCAGGAAAAACAATGTTCTTTCATCGATTTTTAATCAGTGTTTGTGTGTCCAAACCGATCAATTGAACTCTGCACGTTTTTTAACGTGTTGGCGGCCCGGACGTGCGCTTTTACGAAGAGCGTGGTTTTGCTTCCCCGAAACGGATAGATGCTTCTGCTTCTGGCCGCGGGAGGGTAACATGAAGAAAGAAGGCTCCTTTTATTGGACGAGTTAAGGATGAGCTCTGTCTAATTCTTTGCAGCCCGCATTGGTTGTGCAGCGCACTGCATGTTACGGTCTAGTGAACTTTTGCGCTGTCATTTATTCATTTCCTCCAGACAAACTGCCGGCTCTTCTGTTTAGACTATAAATGGATTAACAACATTGAAAACTCTTTAGTTTTCTCTATTCTATATGTAATGGAGACTGGAATTAAATTTGCCATTTCAACCAGTGGTCCGGAACACGAGGAGGCGCTGATGCACCCACAGTTACTGGAAGGCCTTTTCTTTTTTTTGTGCTAAGAATAATGCAAAAAATTGCATGTGAATGCCAGACAGTCTTATTCAATATACGTCCTGATCAGGCTTGTCAGATTAATAGTACCTTTCGAAAGTAACCTTTTAGCAGGTATTAATATTAAACATACTACAAAATATTACTATGTCGTAATGAAGACTGAAGCTGGTTTGGTTATGGAGAAACAATCACTCCAGGCTGTCGGGTTGGGACAGCTGATAGATATGTTTAGGTGAGTTAGTGAAATAAGAGAATATATGTCCTTAGCTCGGACATATAGTGTTTTTCTATAAAGATAGACAAATATAAATTATGAGAACTTGCCTGTAAATACTTTCACAAATAAACCAAATGAGCACAAATGAATAAACGTGTTTAAAGATTACTATTGATTACTATTGACTAGCAACTGGTTGATACCTGACTATGAGAATTACACATAAATAATAATCAACCCTGCTAAATACAGCATCACACAATAAAACATACAAGAGAAATTTCAATTGGAAATGGTAACATGAATGACATCTAATTAACCAAGCTTAATGGCTTAATGCTAAAAGGCTAACCTTTTGCTCTCCACAATACGAGAAAACCACACCAAACAGCCACAATATTCAATACTCAGATCTACAAGCAAGAGGTAGCAAATATGAACGAGAAGCCAAACACAGTTTTGACAAATATGGAGAAAACATATTTTTTTATTAAAGTTCTGTACTGCAGCTTGAATAAACTGCAACAACATAGCATTTTTTGAGAAGTCTGGATTGCTTCATGTATATTTTGCATGTTGCCTATGACTGTTGCTCATGGGGAGAGACATTTCAGTAATCTAAAACTAAGAGAACAAATTTAAGCAACCTACTTGCTTACTGTTTGTGGACTGTTGGATATTAAATTCATGAGCAATAAATATTGTGCTAGTATCAGCATTAGTCCAAAAAAGCAAGAAAGTTGCAAACCTTTAAAATTGTGACGCTTTTGATGGTTCAGTCAGACTCAAGAAATTGCTGTGTGGAGGGCCCACTTTAATCCTTTGTCAGAGGGCCCAAGATTCCTGGCAGCGCCTGTGATTGGTGGGGACTGTCCCCTTTATGCCAGAATGGGATAAATGCAACACGCTATTGCATTTAGTTCAGTTCCCTCTACGATAAAATCTTTGCATAAAGTCTATAATATCTGGTCTTGTGAACCAATCAGGGGTATTAATTATAACCTGTCAAAATGACGGACGAGCTTTAAATTTTCCCGCCGTTTTGAAAAACAACCAGTCAAATACGGAAATTCGGTTAATGCAACCTTTGGGCAGGGGGTAAGTTTCCACCAAAGGTCCGAGGCAGTTTGAGATTAACCTGAAGTTTTCTAGACAAAAAATATTGAAACGTTTGAGTTACAAAAACAGAACATTTTCAAAATTTGTCAATTTTCTCAGTTTCAAAAGTCAAAAAGTTTTGGCTTTTGAAGCTCAAAACTTTCAACATTTTTATTTTTCTAAAAAAAACTTCTGAGATTAGTTTCAAAATCCCCCCGGCCCCAACTTTTGTTACTCTGACATTTCCATTTTTTATTTTATTTTATTTTTTAGAAAACTTCAGAGACTCAAAATTTCTGAGATTTGTGACTGAAATGTACCATTGTTTTTTCCCTCTCATTTTCTCTCTGCGATGGCCCTGACGTGTGCATCCTCATGCCGGAGACGTAAAAAACTCAACAATGCGACAGAAAATACTGAACAGGAAAGAAAAATCCTGGTTTCTGAAAATGAAAAGTCTCTGTTTTCATCTATCTGAGCGCCACACGATGGCGCTATAACCTTCTACAGTCTCAAGGTGCTACTGGAGGGAATAACAATAAACTCCACGAAGGCAATTCACTCTACTGTATCATAAAAACACCTTAAAACCATTAAAATGACTAATAACCTGAATCGCTCTCTGCAAAAACAGCTCTGGTTTTGTGTGAACTCTCCTCATGAACTTTTGATGGTTTGGTGTTGCAAGACAGATGCTCCCTTTGTTCCTCTCTACACCCTGCCAAAACAAAAAAAAAGGAAAATAAAATAAAAGATTAACTTCTTGTGCTTTTCCAGCTGGAGCATCAAAGCAAAGAAAATTAAAGAACCCCCTTTTTTTTTTTTTCAAGAAAAAAAAGGAGAGAGAGAAAAAAAAAGCCACTGCGAAAATAAGGACGTTAAAATAGTCACGGCAACTTAGACGAGACACGAGTTCTGCTCATGCATGTTGGAGCTGAATCTCCCCCTGCAGCACCTCCGGAACAACGAGGAGCTCAGTGATGTGCCCAGAACGTTCCCGGAGGCGTGGCGCGCTCCGAGCCCGCTCTGCTGCCTCTCCCTTTGCTCTGGTGACCTCACAGTCACAAGCTTCTCCTCCAGGCTGAGGCTGAGTAAAATGATCAATAGTTCAGTTATTACTGTTGGTGTCTGCATGCGATCATGCTGAGTTGTGTATTCTCCAGAAAAAGGAAAAAAAGGGAACGACTTTCCAAACATTTCCTTTTTTGTACTTCTCACTTTCTCTTTTTGATTATTTCATCGTTTCTTTAAGTGGCTTGCGAGGAGTTTGCTTCCTGGGCTTGAAGCTGTGTGACTCTTTCAAATGGAAATAAAGTACTTATTTAAACTCCCTTTGTTGGAATTGTTCTCTTTCTGAAATGAGGGAGGGGAAAAGGCAAAACTGTGAAAAGTTTTCCAGAACAATGCCGATGGTGCAGACCTATCAATCAATGAAGTTTATTAGCACGGCACATTTCAGCAACAAGGCGGTTCAAAGCGCTTTACATCATAAAAACAGAAAAATACAAAGTCATAGAACGCACTCGGTAAATGAAAAAACCAGTAAACATGGCATTTTTTGTCAAGTGCCATTGTTGCACATCAAAATGCTTCAAAAGCAACTCTAAATCAAGGAACTCGTAGAAGAAGAAGAGCCATGACGGCAACAGTTCAGAGAAACGTTGAGTATTGATAGAAATACTCAGAATCCGTGTTTTGTAGACCCAGTCAGAGGATGCTGTAGGTACCAAGAGAGGAACTGTGGCACTGGATGAGGAACTAAGTTGTCCAAGTTGTCCGGCGAAGGCCTCACTGGTTTCTTAGAGAACAGGCAGCAGAAGCTGTGGAGGAGTTTCGTGAAAAGTCTGCCAAGACATGGCCGTCTAAAGCGAAGAGAAACTAGAAAAAGCTTTCAGGCTGTTGTGATCAACTTTCAGCAGGACGACCGAAAACATCAAGATTCAACCATGTTTATAAATGACCCAGTCAAAGTCCAAGCTTAAATTTGGTTCGGAATACTAAAGCTTGACAATGACTCATCCTCCATGGTGCGCCTGACAGATCATTCTCACTCTTAATTGTGAGAATTTAATGTTCTCACAATAAATTCCAAATTATGTTTAAAAGCCCATAAAACTCTCTGTACCATCAGGATTGTTAGTTTTACAACTTTTCGCCACTTTTTCTTCAATAAAGGTGAATCAGTAAAGATGAATACATTTGACAATGAGACTAAAAGCAATCACTGTGTGCATTACAGCAATGCAAATCACACTCCTTTAAGTGACTGGTGTCCTAAAGAAGAGTATCACAATTGATTCATTTTCCCAGAACACGATTTGTGTTTGTGGAAATGAGTTTCCTAAAAATAAGCAATAAACAACCGGTATCGTCACTTTTAGCGTTGTCATAAGAGTGCCACAAAAATATTGTGATAAAACCAGAAGTCCAAACCTACCTTAGAGTATAGTATTGAGTAATATTCGTCTATATATGTGTGTAAAGGTAATAAGAGAAGTAACTATAAATTATTGTAACCAAACAAATGCTGTTCATCCTTTTCCTCCAACTTCACAATCTTTAAATTATTTGTGTTGCTCTGTCACAAAACCCAAGTCATTATTATGACCATTTTTAGTAGAAGGCCTTTGGTTCAGTCTGTTGATACATTCCAATTAATAATGAAACAGCATCAATTATTCTCACTGGGAGAAAAAAAAACATTAAATGTAGGTAACTTATCACGTGCTACTGTTCAGTAATTCAAAATCACACTTTATGTAATGATTACGTTTACTAAGAGTAGTTTTTTTTTTTTTTTTTACTGAATACCGAAAAATACTAAAGCAAAGGTTTGCCCTCACCCCTAAAAATAACAATACAATACCTTCGAGTTGGCTGAAGCAGCAAAACAAAGTGTGAAATTGAGGGTCAAGATGTTTGTAAGTCTTGACACTGACAGTCTCGTCTCATTTTCTCACGTGTAATTTTCAGAGACACTCAACACGCGCAGGACGTCGCTGCGCGCGGGCCGCGCGCGGGCTGCGGGTGGGCGGAGCTTCGCTCCGAGCTGCTCGGAGTTTGTCAGTTTCCTAAATATAGCGGACGGACATCGTCGGCGTGTCTGTTTTCTGTCTGTCTGTCTGCCGGGGACGCTTAGAGATAAAGACGGCATTTACACCAGCTGCTTTTGAGGGCTGGGCAGGTCGGTAAGTGGAGCCATTTTTGTTTCTATCTTCTTCTTTCTTCTAGTTTTACTCAGTGAAAGTCCGTTTCCAGCGCTGCTCTCTGTGCTGCAGGGAGGGGAAACAAGTCCTGCTTTAAACATGTCACTGAGTCTCCAGCACTCAGCCGGCGCTGGAAACTCACCTTAACTCGTTCAATGTGTGTGTGGCAAGGTATTGGTTGGTGCCGGAGGATGTTTCTGTGATCATCAACACGGTCAAACACTGTAACTTATTACTGACACCGGAATAAACCCTCGCGCGACACTAGCCGGTCAAACACCGAGGGAATCACTATGACGACCAAACGGGTCAGAGCCCCGGGAGGAGAAGTTACCTGGATACTGAGAGAGAAAAGATACAGTTTATTCATCCATCCATCCATCCATCTTCCATCCATCCATCTTCCATCCATCCATCCATCTTCCATCCATCCATCCATCCATGCATCCATCCATCCATCCATCCATCCATCCATCCATCCATCCATCCATCCATCTTCCATCCATCCATCCATCCATCCATCCATCCATCTATACATACATAATAGATTTAAATTTCCATGCATTGCGACTTCAGAGTTAAGATAAATGCAGCCTAATTGCCTAATTCAGTTTATAATATATAAAAAAGCACTTGCAATAACTGAAACTAAATACATTATAAATAATCATGCAATGAATGGAAATCCAATAAGGAATTGCTTCTCTGCCTTTTGAATAAGATCAAGCATGGAAATCCAATGAGGAGATGTTTTTTTCCCCACAATAGTAATATATTGAATCAGTTGTTTTATAATAGTTTGTATACGAGTATGCTAGCATAAAACTAGCATAGTAGTAGTAGCGCACTAATATGCCACCTGCTAGTATACTACTACTAGGACACTAGGATGCTAGTTTCATACTAGTGTATTCTGCTCCACAAGGTAAAGGACAACTACGTGTCACTTTTAGGGTTAAAATTTCCAGGCAGTGGAAGCAAAAATGTGTCACACCAATTGAAAACCATCATTAAAGCTTATTTACTGAAGTCCGTAATAATATTTATATTTTAACTTTTGTTATATAACCATGTGTACTCCTGAGAAATAAGGCTTGGTGATGTGACTGTGTTTCACCAGGAGGGATTGGAACAGGATGACTAGCTGCCAGATTAGAGAGATCGCATTGTCGTCTCTGCGACACGTTCATGCTCTTTGGTCTTACACAGACATATTTTTTCTGCTTTTCTTTTTGTAAATACATCTTTATTATAAAGCAAAACTACAAATAATGTCGTCAGTCAATCTTTTTTTCCTTTTCCACGGCTATACAAGGCTATGTTTCTTTTTTGTTTTCATTAGTAAGGTTTGTCCTACCAGTTTTGTTTTGGGGATGATTCTTTTTTTAATATGTAAAGAAGAAGATGTGCTGACACTCTGGAGTTGTTTTAACGAGATGTACGTGAATGCACCGATTAAAGCTCAGCTGTTGAGACAATGGTATCAGTTGCATCTCATGTGCTGCGCAGCGTTTTGGGCTCCTGCAGGCAGTTGGATTTGGACTTTATCTGATTTTTTTTTTTTCCAATGATGTTTACATTCAGCTTGTTGTTCCAGGGTAGTAAATGAGCCAAGTTCAGAGTGAGCTACATACCTCACTGCTCGTGAAAAATGTGAGTGCTGACATATAACGCTTTGGTTTGGTTCACCTTGGCATAATGATACAAGTTTTCCCTCTCACACTTTAATTTAGTGAAGAACTCTCAATATTGGAACTGGATGATATTTAAAATCTGCAGAATAAAACACAACAACCAAAACCAATCAATAATATGGAAACAAAAAAGTACTTGCAGCTGAAGAAAATAAAATCTGTGCAAAAAAAAAAGTTAATCGTCAGAGTGGAAATTATTGAGCTCATTTTAATGTGCCGTGCGATTAACTGATTAGCTGTTTAATGCGACGGGCTTACGCCAAATCAATGTACTTTTTTTTCTTTTGCACAAAGAAAATGTTCATTTGGTTTTAGGGTTGATAAAACCAGAGCGGGTGCTTCTCATTGCACACAGCAGTGCTTTACTTACTGGCTGCTCTCCTCTCCATACTCTCCGTCGTTGCATCATTTAGTGTTACGTCGGCTCTCCAGCACAGAGTTCCTCTCTCTGTAAAAGCTCATGTTCTTGAAGCAGCAGTGGAAAGAGTTTAGGCTAAACTGTCCAGATGTTCCCCTAAACATCTGCACCGTTCATGTGTGAAAACTGCTTAGCCCTGTTTGCAGATCTGTGGTTGGAGCTGACAGACTAATAAAAACAGAGGGAAAACTTTACCATCAAAGGGAAAATGAGTCAATTACCGTAGTTCGGCAGTATATGCCGCTGCCATTTAAGGGCTCTAATTTAGCCCTTTGTGATGGATTTTGTGCACAGAATGGAACCCATGAATCCCCCATCTGCAATATATTTTACGACCAATTAGAACAAGGCATAATGCTTACTAAGGGCTTTTTTTCAAAAGTATAGTTACAATACACATTTGAGAGATTTGTGTAACTTAAGTTGATCTGAATGTCCTGCCAGCTAACAGTACGTAGTTGGCATTTTAAGATGATCTCCCTTTCCTCATCACACTCTTAATTTTATCCCCTTTCCATGACATCCACTAAAATAAAATAAAAAATCATTACACGCTAGCACAACCGCTATGGCTCCATGTTTTATGTTAGCTCTTGCTTTTCCCCCTCCCACGTAATCTGCTGAATTGTGACAAGCCTTTGAGAGTGTTGCAAAAAAAAAAAAAACGATTCTGAGCTCCAGCAGCTTCATGTGGGTATGAGAGCTGTAGTTTGCCATTTTCTGAGAAGAATGAATATCTGTAACAACCGATTGTAGTAAATTCAGTCAACTCTATGAAAACATTTGATGAAATCATCTTACTCAGATTTTTTCTTATTCTTTTTAGAAGTTTCCGACAAAGTGTGAAATTAAAACACCATATTTTTGAGGTTTGGCTCTAGAGGTGAAGCGGAATTTTGTGGCATAAAACCATCCAACTACACATGGATGTTAGTTTATCTATTATCTAGGAGAGTGTTATCTTGTTCCTGTTCGTATGACTTCGCTTGACTTTGACGCTTATCCTGAAGTAACACGCTAACATTTCCTGAGTTGGAAAGCTAACATTTCGAGGGCGTTGACTATAAAGTGAGCATGTATATTTTTTCCCAGTCAAAAAAAATGTCACAAAAAGCCTTTTTTTTGGGTCATGATTTCTGAGGAGTCAAATGGTGAGGCTCCTCCCTGTGAAGAGGTCTGTAGAAAAGGGTATCAAACTTCCCTCCAGAAAATGATGTGACAAATTTAAACATTGCTTTTGCTTCTCTTAGGGTCTCCTCTCTCTTTGAGTGCACTATATTGTAAAATCGGAGGCACTGTATGTGTGAAATGGCTTCAAGTGATTTGTTGCCAAATGGCAACATTATGCCATAGAGGGTTAATACCTGCTGATGTATAGGACTGCTTAAGAATGTACAGTTATTTGGTTCAGGGCTGAAACGATTAATTGGATTAATAAGATTAATAGGGTTAATCTTGATTGAGTATTTAAATAATCACCAACTAATTTAGGAATCAAATAATAGTATACAGACTGAAAAAAGTCAATTTGTTAAAAGACAACATATTCAGAGAAGGAATTAAGCCAAAACTGTACATAATAAATATATTATTTTGCATATATTTCCAATATCATTATTTATTTAAAAAAGGTTAAGAGGTTAAATAAAATAGTTGTAGAGTTTGCAATTTTTTTTATCTGTACAATTGAATAATTGTCAGAATAATCGATCACTGAAATAATTGTAAGCTGCAGCCCTAATTTGCATTAGTAAAATAATTTTTTCTAAGTCGATGGGGCATCAGTCCACAGGCCCACATTCTTGTAAATCCATCCCTGCTGATCTGCAACTTACAAATTCTTTGAATACTCAATTTCTGATTTGAGAAGCTTTTAAACCACTTAAAAAACTTTAAAAGTCTCAATATGAGCTATAATCTCTTCATAATGGCACATGAATTCACTGATAGTCAAAAATTACTGGTTTTACTGTAAAAGAAGGAAGAGTTCAGTGCTTCATACAGAACCAAGCCAGCCAGCCATTTTCTAACACCCTCGACCCTATTCGGATCTGGAAGTGCAGTTTTTTAAGTGAGTGGTGTCACTGTTGCCTGTTATAATTGGAAAAGTTTTTCAAGAACAATTATTGAGTTTGTGGCACTTCAAATGCTGCACCATAGTCACAACCATACAGGCACCTACAGTAAAAAAATAAGAAATAAACGTGTTTTTTAATCATAATGTTCAATGTTATCACAATAGTATCGCGATAAAATTCTAAATCCATATCGTCCATTGCTAGTTGGGACGTTTTCAAAAAATGTGCAGCTGCAAATGAAGGCTTCCATCTTTATCACTTTTCCTTCTTGTTCTTCTTCTTCACTGCTTTTAGTTTTCATATTTCATCGGCTGGGCTGGCAGCATGTTCCATCAGCTTCAATTATCCTCCCTGTCAGCCGACCGCTGTCGCCTGTCTGCTGGCTTTAGTGATTACAGGCTTCAGGGGACAGGTAATCAGGTCATGGTTACGCTGTCACCGTGACGGTCCGCTGAGACAATAAGGAGCATGTGGGACGAAAGAGCGCTTCCGTCTTCAGCCACTAATGTCACGGCAACCGAATACATCTCTGCCACGAGTCGTGCCGAGGTGCAGATGTGAGCGGAGGCTTGTTTTCTGACAGTGTTCGGCCTCTGGCCGGACTGCTATGTAGCACCGATGCACAACATTTCCTGATGCAAGGGCGGGTGGAAAGTTTCCAGCTCGGTCCGTTTAGCATTGTGTCTCTGCTTTTCGTAAATGACGCAGTCCTGTTGGATTCATGCGATGGAAATCCGACGCAGGCAGACAGGCTTTTTGCAGAAGTGTGCGAAGCTGTCACACCTTGAACTTGGTCACCAAGGTTTGAGCCTTTCAAAGCTTTAAACCGGTGGGGCTGTGTTGTCACTGTAGGTGGTAAAATGTACTGATACTGCTTGAACATTGTCACATTTTGTTGCATCGCAATTGTGTGTTTCTCTGGGAATTTACGTGACAACCAATGAAAAACTCAAGTTATGTCTACATATATATATATATATAAATACATATATAAATATATATATATATATATAGGCTATATATATTTATACATATATATATGGGAAAATACTTTAACAGGAAGTCTCACATAAACAGAAAATGTAGGTGTGAATCTGTGACTCATGCCTTTTTGGATAACTGTTCTTCAAGCAGTGAAGTTATAGATGGTGGGTAGATTATATGGAAAATGTACTCTAGTAACATTAGCAATGTTCCTTATTACTCAAATTGACTTAAGTCAAAGTAACTGTTATGATGTAGTAAAACTAATCTTCAAAGTATTTTTTTCCCCTCAAAAAAGTTACTCAAATATAACTGAGTCACTGTAACTGCCTCTGACTGAAGCTTCCTGCGTTGTTTTCTGTGTTTCTTTTCTAACAGGTTTACTGAGGTACTTGTGGTTTTCTTTCAGCAATAGGTTTCTTCTTACCAATCTGCCAAGTTGAGGACTTTTGCAAGAGACCATTGTAGGGTTTTGGTGCTAGTTGTTGCTCACACTAACTATTTTAGATTCACATTTACAACATGTAAATTCATAAATAAATCAGTTTTTTTGCCCACATCTATCTATCTTAAACCCAATTGATGGAATGGGGATGTTCAACTTCAGCTGCTGTCTGTTCTGCCAACACTCCATTCGTTTGATATGACAAGCTATATATCAATTTTAATGTTTTGTTTTAGATATAAATAGACTAAACAAACACACGAGTCTAAAGCTGGCGAGAGAAATGGCTCGTGGTCTTTTACCAAAGTCAAAAGAGAAATGCTACAACGGCTAAAATCTCACACCACTTCATTTTTCTTTACGTTTTATGAAGAAGGAAGTCATGCTCTGTGTCGTCTTGAGGTTTTTGTGTTGTTTCCTTCAGTGGTTCTTTCTGAAGTACTGAAGGTTTTTAAAGGGTCTGTTTTGACACAGTGCAGTGAAAAAGCAAACTGTTCCAGCTGAAAATAAGACAAATGTTGCCATTTTGTTCCCCAGTCCAACAGAGTCTAGTGAACTATCAGGTATGAAAACATCCTGACTCTCCAGCTGGTTACTGTCTGAGATGGCAGACAGTAAACTGATGTGACAGTCGCCTTTTGAGACATGATGACCTGCTGACAGTCCTCCTGTTGATGGAAAGACCAACTCTTAAAATCAAGCTGTTGCATATGTATTGATTCCTGGTTATGAGAACTATTTTTTTTTCTATTGGAGGCATTTTATTCACCTCCTTGCTGTTTTATTGAATAGAAATACAATTTTTGTGACTTGCTGTCCAATAATCTACTTTACCACCATAGTCCATTTTTTCACTTACAGTTAAAATGAGGTGATATTCTATGGCAACAATATTGTCATGGAAGTAGACGTTTTACTTCCCCTCCTCTTTTTTTCTCTCATCATACCTCATTTTGGGCTATGTGGTTAACAGTAAATGGCAACACTTTGGAAGGAAAGGCTTTACTGTTTTTAACCAACGTTAGAGAAAACAGAGACTCCACTGTAGGTCTCTGCTTGTCTTAAGTATTTTCATTGAGGGACTAAATTGACTCTTCAAAAACTGTTTTTTTAGTCAACTATATGGTCTCCTGCTGCAAATTCAAGCTCATTCTGGATGATTACTGGTGTTGACGGCTGAACTATTCTCCATCTCTCCCAGCAGAAGTGATTCAAAGGTCTCTTCCTGATCTGAATGTCTGGACCGGTGCTGAAGTTCAGATCAGTCTTTGTACATTATTTTCTCTCTCTCTCAAGTTCCCAGTTGAGAGCTGCTTATGAGATTTCTCCTTCACTCCAATTAAGAATTAAGTCTGTTCCTCTCCGGATTTAAACACGTTTGGGGGTCAAAAGCTTATAGTTTCATTACTTGACAATCACAAGTTAGAAAGAGTTGGACCTAATCTCTTTCCACCTCTCCTCTCTTTCAGAACCGCATTGTTCTGAGGAAGTTTCTGTGCAGTTTCTCCACAGTCGTCTTTCCATCTTCCCTCCAGTCCAGCTGCCTCTGGCCAAGGTAAAGCAAAAAAACTTTAATGTTAGTGTTTCACTTCAAATTGTTATCTTTTTCTCTACCGGCGTTTAAATGCATTTCTAGGTGGTCTGTCCCCCTCTTTGTTCTTAGGCTCATGGATATTAGACTTCCTACATATCTTGGAGATGTTTCAAAACTTTCATGGTGGAACAATAGTAACCTTTTGGGGCCATCCAGTTTGGGGTCATTTGCAGTGAGATTTCAAAATGTTTCACCAAGTATTCACCAGACAAAACTCTTATTTCCCATTTGAAACTAATGCACACAATCACATGCTCAGGAAAGTTTTTTTTTACATATCTTTGTGGTCTACAGTGTCTTAGATTTTTTCTTATTTGCTGAATAATTTGTAAAGCTTGTATAAAATATTTGGGCGAAAAAAATACAGCTTATGATGTTGAAACACCGAGCAGAATAATACTGCATGTTCTAGACTTGAGTACTGTTTTTGTTTTGTTAAATTGTCTGAGAAGACTTGAGTCTTATAACTTTCTAGGAGGATTTTGACGGTGTCATTGCAAAGTATGATTGATTTTGGCCAACGTCGATCATGACTGCTTGATTGTTACCGATCCAAGGGGGATCAGTGATTTGTTTCCCATGTCGGCAGGCAGCAGAAAATAGTACAGTGCAGTGCAGAAAATAAAGCAAAATAGAAATGTAACAAAGAGGTGAAGAAGAAACTTTCCAAGCTGGCAGCTTTATTAAACCACTTAGTTGGGTTGGAACGGAACCAGTAACTTAACCAAACATTAGTCTTGCTAATGTGGGTACCGACACAACATGGTGCATGAGTAAATCGGTGGTTAATGAAAACATCGGCGATGGGGAAAAATTGACAGGCTTAGCAACAACCTTCTTCTCCAGATTGCGCTTTAAACACACAAACGGTATGTACATCCCAAGACTGTGGACGGTTTACTCTCCATCTAATCGAGTTGCTGTGTTTTGGATTTGCATGTTGCATTTACAGCTACACTAAAAGTCAACTATGTCTTAAAACGGATTTCAGTGATTATAGAAGTCCACCACAGAATGCACAAAGGAGCATGAAATATCACAGAAAAACAATGCAGACATCACACTTGCAACATCCAGTGGACAAGATTACTATGTAAAGAATATCAATTACATTGCATTATACTCTATAGCAGGGGTTAATTTCTTGTTCTTTGCACCGTGCCCTGCTGTGTACTTCCTTCCTCTTCCTTGTGTTTAATGGAAATGTTCTGGTCTGTTGGAAATGAAGACTCTTCCTGTTCCAGTTGAGGTGCTCCTTCCACACTCGGCAGACCGCTGACTGCGTCTGACCACTCACACCCACACCTGTGATGCTAAAAATGCAACAGAGCGGCTTAGAAATGACACTCAACAAATACAGAAATCAAACAAGACAATGTCCAAATATTAGCCTTGCCGTCCACTTTGAGGCAGTCGCACAAACCCGCCTTTGTCGATTGCCGTAAATAGGTTGCGTTTGCTCTGCCAGTTGAAACAGCAGTGCCCGGTCTAGGACTAGATGGCTTAGCTCAGTAAACTTTCTGTTGATTTGAAAGGCTTAGGTCCAGACCAGAGTGTGGTCACTGGACGGTTTGGGCTTTTGCACAGGTCTTCATGATTCAAATGCTTCATTACTTCAGGTTCTGCTTCTAGAAACCCTTCTTTGGTACTCTGCTGACGACTGGTTTGTTGCAGCAGCACCCCCTTCTCAATCCATTTTGAGTGCTTTTGACTTTTCCTCTGATTCCCGCTTTGACACATTGTGTGAACACAAGATTCCCGACTACTGCATGGCTGCTCCAAACCCCTGCGAATGCTGTCGTGCTTTGCAGCAACACTCAGGTAGGGTAATCAACCTCAAAACTCACCGTTCTGATATTAAAACCTCTAAACTCTTTCTGCCCTGTGCATAAACTTTAAAAATCCCTCTACTGTGTGACTCAGTAATCTAGGAGAAAGCAAAGCAAAGTTGTAAGAGATGTAAGGGTGTATGGGGGTAGAGTGGTTGAGACAGAGGGGAATAGCTTGAAGGTCCCTTATGATGACTCTTCAGAACTGCTTAAGATTCGCTTTACAGCATTAAAAGGAAGTTTTAACTTAGCTGAAAGCACTGAATTTCAATGAGATCAAAACCAAACATTAAAAAAAAAAATCATTTTAATATCATTTAGCAGATCAGAAGCTTGAGTTAGGGCCAAATATACTACATGGTCGTACGTCTGAGCGTTTTCACTGAGTGGTGCAAATCTTACAATAGAAATGTAGACTTTAGAACCTTCTCTGTGCTGGGTGACTAGAAGCCTTCAGTCTTTATTTCTGCGCTGTAAGACTTACTGGATAGTCAGACTGAGACTTTGTTTGGGCAGCATGCAGTAGCATGGAAGAGTATTCTTATTTCTTTGTCACGTTACAGCCACAAGCTTCAATGTATTTCAGTGGAATGTTATCTTATAGACTGGGAGATCACAGATGAATCGGCCCCGATTTCCTTAATTTTGGGTGATTGGTGATTGGCCGGTCTTTTAGAACCAACTTATCTATTTGCAAACATTTGAAAATCAGTCACTATGCCCTTTTTTGTTCCTGAATAATGAGTTAACGAACGAATGTCAACTAATGTTCATGTCTGCTGTTAACAATAGTTACCCCACTGTTGCCAACGTATCGACTTTGCTGCTATATTTAGTGACTTTTCAGACAAAAATGTCAGAATTGGCTAAATTCTAATCAGCAGGTCGGACTTTTTAAAGATCAATGATTGGTCAGAAAAATGCAATTGGTGCTTCCTATATAGACCAACACAAAGTACCACACAATTGTGACATGGATTTCAAAAGGTTTTACAAGTGAAAATGTGAAAAGTGTGGGACACCCCCACATGCCACCAAAATCTGGTGACTTCTGGTGACTTCAGAAGTCACCAGAAGAGAAATGTGCATTTAAAGTTCAGCAAAAGTACCTCAAAGCTCATTGACATGACAACTACTCAGAAGAATAGTAAGAGGAAAGCCATTAATTTAAGAAAGCCATAAAAAAAAAAAATTACATTTTGTCATTAGGGACAAAGGAGCAGATGCAGAAAAAGTTTTTGGGTATGAATACTTTTGCAAGATGCAATAGGAGACAAACTTAGTTTGAATTCTTTCCATATGATTTTAGTAAAATCATGTCTGTTCGGAAGCAAAACATAGCAATTAATAATAAATAGCTCCCTTAAACCAAAGGCCTCATTAAGAAAAACATAAGGTGACTCTTCTGTATTCCTAGAAATGTTGTTGTTTCTTTACAACTAGAACAACTGGACTTTACAACTAGAACAACTGGACTTAAAGCCATGTAATAATTTAAACTAACTGGTTTTATCCTTTCTTTATGTGTGTTAATCTGAAATGTCTGAAATAGTTTACTCAATGGGCCGATCTCCAGTTCAACAAGTGGAAGCTGGATTTCTTGGTTTGTTTTTGATAAATAAGAATAAACAAATAAGAAAGCCTCGCCACATTTAAAACGGCAGCTTGAGTTTTAATCTTTGTTACAGGCATGACATCAGTGTCTCTGTGTTGAGACAGGAAAATCTTAGCACACTGCTGCTGCCATAAAAGCAACACAATAATGAAATGACATCACAGTGGGCCAGTAATTAAATGAGCAGACTGCTGTCTTGGAGGTTTTACTGGGTTGGAAGATTGTGAGTAACACTGTGGTGTACAGGAACACGGTGGAGCCCTGGAGCAACTGGCTGAAATTCACAGATGCATTTCCCTCTTTGAGTTTTTCTCAAAATTTAAAAAGACATGTAAATATTTTTGTTGTATCCTTATGAATTAAAGCTGACAATAGGATCTGTAAAATTGTTGTTGAAGAGTCTAAAGGAGTAGCAATATTAAGTCATGTTGTACTTAGTAAATGTTCATAAACCAGTCTATAATAATTACTCTGAACGAGGAATTATTTACTGTTTCATAGAGAGGGATCTTTTATATCATATTGAAAAAACAACCTGGAGTTTTCTGACTTTGCCTAAGCTGAAGGATTTATTTTAAATTAAGACTCCAATACATGTCATCCTTAGTGGTGTAAGAAAACGGAGCCTCCAGAAACTTTGAGCAGCACTGATGCAATGTTGGCAAACAGAAATTTTAATGGTGCTCTTAATGTTTCACATTAGAAACCTTTCTGATGACTGACTGTGACAGTTCCCTCTCTTTTCTGCAAACAGTTTACCAATCAAATGAACCCTTAATGCTCATGCGACTCTCCCAACGCTAACCCAAGGTTAGCATTGAGATAATGCTACCATTATCTATTAGGTTCAGTCTAATAGTCTCCACAAATTCTCATTCTGGCCATAAGTACATCATGACTGATAGCCTGAAATCTCAACTATGTGAACACGTCATTGTGAACACATGTATGTAAACACATCCTTCACACTATCAGATTCAATGGAATCAATACAATTTAGCTACAATAAATCATATAATATTTCAAAGCTTTGTCAATTTCTACATGGGAAAAACATGATTATTTATTGAGGAAGAGCTTTTATATGTACTGACAAAAAAGACCTGTGTTCCCTGGACCTAATCTAAGATATGGGCATCAGGTCCTGTGACAGTCAGTCTAACTGACTGTCACAGTTGTATGTCAAATACATTACTGATAGACAAACAGGGAAGGAATATGATTTGAAACAAAATAGCAGGTCAAATACACATACATACACTACTGTAATCCATTGTGATGGTTGCATTGGGTAGTTATTTACAGTGTGTAAGTAACCAACATTACTTACACAGGAAACAGTGGTAGGAGGCGCTGAGCCACCAATTATCTTCCTGTGTGAAACATACTGCGAAGCGGAACATATACAGTGTTTCTTGTATGTACCTGCCAGATAAGTGAGGCAGTATTAGGATAAATGGAATACATCCTAATACTGGATGTATGTTTGCTTTTTCTACAGTTACCATTGTGTATCA